GTGTGGGGCCCCGTGGTATGTGTGTGTGTGTGTATGAGCCTCATCCACGGTGTGGGGCCCCGTGGTGTGTGTGTGTATATGAGCCTCATCCACGGTGTGGGGCCCCATGGTGTGTGTGTGTGTGTGTGTGTGTGTGTGAGCCTCATCCATGGTGTGGGGTCCCGTGGTGTGTACATGTGTGTGAGCCTCATCCACGGTGTGGGGCCCCGTGGTGTGTGTGTGTGTGTGTGTGTGTGTGTGTGAGCCTCATCCATGGTGTGCGGCCCCATAGTGTGTGTGTGTGTGAGCTTCATCCATGGTGTTGGGCCCCATGGTGTGTGTGTGTGTATGAGCCTCATCCATGGTGTGGGGCCCCATGGTGTGTGTGTGTATGTGTGTGTGTGTGTGTGTGTGTGAGCCTCATCCACGGTGTGGGGCCCCGTGGTGTATGTGTGTGTGTATGAGCTTCATCCACGGTGTAGGGCCCCGTGGTATGTGTGTGTGTATATGAGCCTCATCCATGGTGTGGGGCCCCATGGTGTGTGTGTGTGTGAGCTTCATCCATGGTGTTGGGCCCTATGGTATGTGTGTGTGTGTGTGTGTGTGAGCCTCATCCATGTGTAGGGCCTCATGGTGTGTGTGCGTGTGAGCCTCATCCATGTGTGGGGCCTCATGGTGTGTGTGTGTGCGTGTGAGCCTCATCCATAGTGTGGGGCCCTGTGGTGTGTGTGTATGGGCCTTATCCACAGTGTGGGGCCTCGTCGTGTGTGGGGGGGCTCTGACACCACCTCCTGCTTCCCACTGTCCAGTTTGCCTTTCTGGAGACCATTGTGACAGCAGTGACAGACGAGTTCCCCTACTACCTGCGGCCCAAGAAGGCAGTGTTCTCAGGCCTCATCTGTGTGTCCATGTACCTGATGGGGCTGATCCTCACCACTGATGTGAGTGCCCTGCAGGGTGGGGCAGGTGGGGCAGGGTGGGGATGGCACCTGCAACTGTGTCTCTGGCCAGGTTGGGGCACTGTGGATGAGGCCCATACACACACCATGGGGCCCCACAACATGGATGAGGCCCCCCCCACCATGGGGCCCCACACCGTGCTCCTGAGGCACCTGGCTTCCTCATTTTGAAGAACCTGTCCATACTGGGGCCCTGTCTCCAAGGGAGGCAACATGGCCTTGGTGGAACCTCATGGAATCTGGAGGTGTGGGTTCAGACCTCACCTCTGTACCCTCTGAGTTACCTCAGACAAGTGACTTTGCCTCCCTGAGCCTGTTCCCTCATTGCTAGATGGGGGTTCTGCCACGTGGGGCTTTGGCAGGCTTTGCATTGGTGGGCAGGTGGCCAGTGCCATGTTGTCATCATCTCACTCTCCTGGCAGCCTGGCTACTTCCTGCTCACTCCCTGCTAGGAAAGGGAGGCTGTGGCAGAGGGTGGAGCCAGGGTGCGAGACCCAGAGCTGTGGTTTGCATTTCAGGGGGGCATGTACTGGCTCGTCCTTCTGGATGACTACAGCGCCAGCTTCGGGCTAATGGTGGTGGTGATCACCACATGCCTTGCCGTCACCCGGGTTTACGGTGAGAAAGGGCCTGAGTGGCAGAGCTGAAGCTCCCTGATACGGGCGAATGGAGTCCACCTGGGAGCCTCTTTGCCTTGGGGGAGGGGATGCTGGGGGCCTACAGCAGGGCCATCTTCTGCCCTCCCTATGCAGGCATCCAGAGGTTCTGCCGGGACATCCACATGATGCTGGGCTTCAAGCCGGGCCTCTACTTCAGGGCCTGCTGGCTGTTCCTGTCCCCAGCCACACTCCTGGTAAGCAGGAGGGAGGGCTACTGGCTAACTCTCCTCTGTGTTCAGTCTGATAGGCTGTCACAGCACAGAGCGGAGCGTCTCTCCAGGCTGCGGGCTGGATCGGAGGGTCCTAACCCACACCTCTCTCCTTTTCCAAGGACCCAGCTTTTGTGGCTGTACTAGGCCAGCCCTGCCTTTGGTTGGCAAGAGGGTGGGTTTGTCCCCAGACTCAGGGCCTCAATGCTGGGCTTTCTGGGTCTTGAGTTGGGATGGCGCAGGGACAGGCCATCTTAAGAAAGGGTGCTTCTGAGCTGAGCTGTCCCAGCCTTGCTGTAGGTAGGGGCAGCTTGGCGGTGCACTAGTTCAGGCCTAACAGAGCCTCCAGGCTGTACTCTTAGGTTCTGGTATAACTCAGACTCTGGGTGGTCTGGCTGGGCTATGTTAGCTCTTAGGAAGATAACTCAGACCTGACCTACCCCAAGCCCTGGAGCCCACTGTGACCCTGAAGTCACCACCCTTCAGGCCTTGCTGGTGTATAGCATCGTCAAGTACCAGCCCTCAGAATATGGCAGCTACCGCTTCCCTGCCTGGGCCGAGCTGCTAGGCATCCTGATGGGCCTGCTGTCCTGCCTCATGATCCCCGCTGGCATGCTGGTAGCTGTGCTTCAAGAGGAGGGCTCACTGTGGGAGGTGAGTCTGCCCACCCCAGCCATCTTTCCCTTCTGGGCTCTGACCTTGTCATGGACCCTTGTACCTTACCAGGGCACTGGGTACTTCTTTAGCCTAAAGAGACCTGCTTGTGTGAGGTAGATTCAGAGGCCTGGGGTCCTGCCTTTGGCACCTCCCAGCACTCAGGTTCTTGGTGGGGGCAGACAAAGACCACTGAGGACAGGCCTGGCCTAAGATCACACCATGGATAAGGCCAGGATTAGGGCTTACCTCAGGTGACCAGCTAGAGCTTCCTGCTGGGACTCAGTTTCTCAGGCAGCACTGAGGAACCACAGGCAGTGGCCTGGTACCCTCCCCCTGCTATGTCCCTTAGGTGGCCTGGGACAGAATGATGGTGCAAACCTTGCCCTAGGCCGGGGCTTTGTGGGGAAACCAGAAAACAGAGCACAAGCTGTTGGGCAGAGGGGTCAGCAGGCCTCAGAAGAGGGAGATAGCAACCTTCTGCGGGCTCTGGGGTGTGACAGGTGACCAAAGCAAGGGCCTGCCCTTCCCTGTGCCACAGGGCACTCGGGTGCGGAGCCCTGCACTGCCGCAGCTGCTGGTGTGGAGTCCTCTGGTGGCTGGAGGCTGTCACTGTGAGTGGAGCTGGAGTGAGCCTGAGGGTCCCAGAGGGAGAGGAGGGACCCTCCCAGCACTCGTTGTACCCCTGGGGTGCTGGGGCCAGCCAGTCATGGCTCTTGAGGGCTTCTGTTACACATTCAGGCGCTCTGGGAGCCAGTGGTTAAAGCACTGGTAGCTTGGAACTGTCGGCGGGAGGAAATTGGCTGCAGAGCAGCCTCCTGGCCCTTCCCATGCCTGCTTGTCAGCTCTCTGCAGGCCCAGCCCTGCGCCCTCCCATCACCTCTGAGTCTCCACTGGAGAGAAGCTCATGCCCTCCAGCTGCTCTGCCTCCAACTGCTGTGTGACTATTGACAAACCCCTCCCTTCTGTGAACCCCAGGAGTCCTCCCTGTGCTCCTAAAGGAGCATCAGGCTGCTTTGGGGAGTCAGGAAAGGAGGCAGGGCAGGGAGCTGCTCAGTGGAGCTTCCAGGAAGCTGATGGTCCTTCAGGCTTAGTGACCAGCTGGTGGAAACTCTCAGCTCCCAGCAGCCACTGCGGGAGCTTCCCACAGCCCACAACCAGGTGAAGGAGTACAGGGCGGCGAGCAGCGCAAAGGAGACACTGGCTCATGAGTGCCACCTTCAGTGGCCAGGGTATCTGGCACTGACTCGTGAGGATCAGAACCCTGGTTCTGCTGTTTTCCAGTGGTGTGAATGCCTGTGAGCCCACTCCTGCACCTCTCTGAACCTTTTTTCTCTGTCTTTAAAATAATGACAGTGATGCCTATTTATAGGACTGTTGTGAAAAGAGAAGGAGCTTATCGACATAGCATGACAGGGATAGAAACACCAAGTATTTCAAAAGTTCCGGATGGAGTTGGGCTGCCTGGGTTCAAAGCCCAGGACCACTACTTCCTGCCCTTGTGACCTTGGCTATCTTAACTAACCAGTCTAAGCTTCAATTCTTAGACAAACCTATTGGCTGAAGGGTGAAAGTGATAGCGCGCCTCTCCTGGGGCTACGGTGAAGACCCTTTCTAGTAAGCGAGGTGGCACAGAGCCGATCACATAAGTGCTCAGTTCCAGACCAGGGCGCCCACACAGGTGACTTGCATTTGGTGACATCTGGGGACATTGTGGGCTGTCACAGAGAGGATAGGGGCACAGGGCAGCTCTACATTTATCTGCTGTACAGAGACCAGGAGTGCTGCTAAATGTCCTTCCACACAGAGGGTAGCCCCAGAACAGAAATTTTCCAGAACCAAAGACTGAGAAACCGGGGTCTGGGCACCCCGTTCAGCTGGAAACACATCTAAACCCTTGCTCTTGGGAGCTGGTTTCTCATGTGGGAGACAGGCAGCAAGCAAGGATGTGAAGATAGTGGTAAGTGCTGCACCTTGCGAACAGCACAAAATGCAAACAGAAGGAATATGAAGTGATGAAGGACCCCAGAAAATGCTGACAAAACAGACAAGGTGGTCCACATAGATTGGGGGGAAGCTTTCAGGGCAGATGGACAGCAGGTGAAAACACCCCAAGGCCGGTTGGCAGGTATGAAAGCAGCGAAGAGAACAGTGTCCCTGGAGGACAGGGAGTGAAGGAGAGGGGCAGGTTCCGAGGTTGGGAGGTAGACAGGGCAGGACACAGAAGCTTCAGATTCATGGCGAGTGAGGAGAAGCCAGTGGCAGGCGCCTGAGGACGGGGGTTGCATGCTGTGAATCTATGAGCATTTCCACGCACCAGGTGCGCTCAGCCGAGGCCAAGGACCCCGTGGGCTGTCTTGTCAGGCATCTCCTTCCCCAAGAGTGTGCAGCTCTTCTCCCTAGCTGGGCAGGCAGAGGGCCCTGGGAATGAGGTCAGAGGAAGGAGGAACCCTACACTGTCCAGGCTGAGTCACCACACAGTCAGTTCCCTCTTTCCATGGAAACTGGGGCTCCTGGGGGAAAGGTCAGAGTCAGGGCTGAAAGGGCCCGGGGGCAGCTTCAGTCCCGCCTTTGTCCTCTGAGCTCCTGCCTAAAATCCCCAGCTCCACTGCATTCAGCATTTGAGGAAGGAAGCCAGAGTGGGCTTCTTGTGCCACATGCAGATGCTCAGAGGAGAGCCCTGCCTCGTACCCACAGTGGCACCACTTATTAGGCTCTACCCTGCTCCTGGCACCCTGCCAAGGGCATCATCACAGTCCCTCCACGACACCAGGCTATAGGCCATACCCAAAGGCCACCCAGATCATAGGTGGGTAGGTAGCCCCCCTACACACACACACACACACACGCACGCACGCACACAGCCCTGAGGTTGCTGCAGGGACTCAGCCAGGTGATGTGGTCAGATCTTTTCTCGGTGCCTGGCTGTCTTCACTTCTGTCACTGCCTTGCCACAGAGGCTCCAGCAGGCCAGCCGGCCAGCCATGGACTGGGGCCCGTCACTGGAGGAGAACCGGACAGGCATGTACGTGGCCACACTAGCCGGGAGCCAGTCACCCAAGCCGCTGATGGTGCACATGCGCAAGTATGGGGGCATCACCAGCTTTGAGAACACAGCCATCGAGGTGGACCGCGAAATTGCAGAGGAAGAGGAGTCCATGATGTGAGGCTAGAGACGGGTGGTCAGCAGGCCCTCTACCTGGGGTCTCACAGCCCTGCCAGTGAGCCTGCCAGGTGCAACAGCACTGCTGGGATTCTGAGAGTCTGGGAGAGGTTGCCATATGGTCCCTACTGCAATTGTGCCTGTGACCTGTGCCTGTCCCAAAGCCTCTGTCTGGTGCCCTCCCTGACACACGTACACACAGTGCAGCCCTCACTGTGTAGAAGGACATTTAAGGCCAGTGAGGGAGGGACCGGCCCCAGGTCACATGGCAGAGAGGACTTGGTCCCTGGCCTCTGGTCCAGCCCACATCCTTTCCCCACATTGCCTCCTCTCTCTGGGGCCCAGCCTTTCTCTGTGCTGGGCAGCCATCCTCACTCTCACATACAGCCTGTGTACCAGGACACTGGGAAGATTGCAGAGCTGCCAAAGCCCTGGATGTTGGGGACTCAGTGGGGAGGAAGATCCCTGTGGATTCCTGAGTGCAGGCCAGGCTTCCCAAAAATAGGAACAGCGGGCACTGGAGGAAGGGAAATTTTCAAAAAAAAAGAGAGGGAGGCACCTCAGCCAGAGCTGCTCCCTGGGGCCAGGGGAGGCCAGGCTGCCCCTGTGTAGCCCCTGCATGGCTGGAGATGTTGATGGCGGCAGCTTTCAGGGCACTCTGGTCCCAGTGAGGACCGGGGAGGGGAGCTGGGGCAGCAGGTGGGAGGGGAACTGCATGATACCTGACATCACTTGGAGTCTCTGCAGGGAGTACTAGGCGACAGGGTGGACACGGGAGGCCTGAGTTAGGGCACTGGGTGGAGACAGGAAGACAGGAGGCTCCAGACCCTATACCAGGGTGTGGCAGGGAGGTCTGAGAGTCACAGCTGTGCGGGTGGGACGAGGGCTGTGGTCAGGACCCAGGCTCGCCGTCTTCCCTTCCCTTCATCCCAGAGGACCTCACCATCACCCCCAGCTCCAGGTGCTGCTGGGGCATTAGCCATGGCTGTGAGTGACCGGAGAATCTGTGGGATGCAGAGGCAGCCCGCATGTGGTCATCTGTCCTGATGCCATGTGCCATGCCCCGGGCCCAGTGTGAGAGCCTAGGCAGAGATTGGGGTGGTCTGGGGTGCCTGGGCCCTCTGAGGTGAAGGTGGGGCCAGCCTGAGTGGTTTCCTGCTCACAGCATCCTCCAGGGGGCGGGGCACCTGGTGCAGCTGCAGTGGCCTCTGTGCCCCATCTCCTGGCATCTCCCAGCCCATCTGTGTCCTGCTTGTTGAGCGTTAATAAACACCAGATGAGTTCATCCTCCTGTCTCCTGCCTGCCCAGAGCATGAAGTGGGCAGCACAAGCCTTTCACTCCCACTGGTCAGATGAGGAGCCTGAGGCTCAACCACATCCTTGCCCAGCTCTCCTGGGTCCTAAAATCTTCTCTGCACTTTGATAGAGTAGGAGAGCTGGAGGCTGAAGATGAATTCTGGCCTCAAGGAGACTACTTAGTTCTCCCATTTGTCCCCTCAGACAAAGTGAGATCTGCGATGGGGAAGATGTTTGTGGGCTGGCACACCCCTCTGGGCTGGCACACCCCTCTGGGCTGGCACATTCCTGCTGGCCAGCATCTCCTCTGTTCTTCCCCCTGCCTTTCTGGCAGGTGAGAGCTGGAGCTGGAAGACCAGGCCAGGAAGAGCCAGGGTTTCCTTCCTGCCAGGCCCTGGCCATATGAAAGAGCCCTGGTTGTCAAATGCAAGGCCTGGGTGTTTACACAGCTTTGATTGCAGTGCAAAGGGAGGGCTGCATGTTTGGGTATTAATGCATTTCCCCTAACAAAGCGCCAGGCTCCTCCCACCCCTCTGTTGGGGCTCCCCATGGGCAAAAGGATGGGTTTGCTAATTTGCAGAGGGTGGCCCTCACAAGTCAGGATGCTCCTTCCCACACCCAGGGGCAGCCTGGCCTTGCTAGGAGCAGAGGTCTTCACATTTCTCACCTGGCCATCCCTGCAGCCAGGCACCAGGAATTGGAGTCCTGCATCCCAGAGCCCAGTGCTCTCCTCTCCCCAGATGCCAAGAGTGAGCTGTGAGGCACCCAGGCTATGGGCATCACACTCTGTTCCCCTCTTTACCTGTCCCCGCTGGGCCTCTGTTCCTCCCACCTCCTGTCCCATCCTCACCCACCCAGCCACTGGGCTGTGACCATGCACAGCCCTCCCTGGCCCCGTCCTCACCTGTCCTGATTTTCCATTTGCATCACTCCCAGGCAGACCTTCTTACCGCACCACCCTTCTCCTTCTACCACCTGTGCCATCTCCTGGCCACCCTCTCCTGCCCCTAGACTGATCCTGGGTCTCCCTGGCTCCCAACCCTACACACCCCAGCCAGACCTGACTACCTGGGAGCTGGCCTGAAGACCAGGTACCCCCATGACTGCACAGCAGGCAGCTTGGCCCTGTGCTCCCAGGACCCCAGCCTGGGACCCATCCTAGAATATTCAAACAGGTGGCCTGAGTGAAGAGAGCACTGGGTTGAGCAGGAGAATAATTGGCAGCTGAAGTTGGTGGGTGTGGGAGGCGCAAGAGGGAGAACTTTTGGGAACTGGAGAAGCAAGCATGCCCATCCAAAGAGGAAGGTTGCCTCTCTGAAGCCTGGGGCATTTTTAGGAGTACCTGGAAGTCTGGATTGTTCTGAGAAATTCCCCAATGTGAAATTTTGGTGATAGCTTTGAAAGATGCAAAAGAGTGTGGCTCCATCAGGGCCTCCTGTCCTCTGTGCAGGGCACCTGCCCTGCAGACTTGGGGAAGTCTGTGCATGGCCGTAAGGGTGACAGTGCGCGGCCGTCTCCATGGGGCCTCTACTACTTGTCACAGGCAATGTCTGTGCTCATGGGCCCCTGAACGTGGGAGGCTGCCGGGGTCCTTGGGGGCCTCCTGTGGGGCCTGGCTGGTCTGGGCCCTGCATCTCTGTAGAGGGCCTGTAGGAGAGGATGTTCCCTCAGGTGTTGGGCAATGCGGAGATGAGGCCCCAGGCCCTTGCCTTGGCTTCTGGCTTATGATCTCTGAGAGCAAATAAGGACAAAAGAGGGGGAATAAGGAAGAGGAGTACCACCCGCTCAGAGCGCCAGTGGCTGCCTCTTCCCAGGGTCATGCCAGGGTCAACAGACACCAGGGGTCACTGGTTACCTTGCTGCTTGTAGGCCACAGCCCTTGCACTACCCACCCGCTCCAGCCTAGTGCATCTCCACAAGGCGCCCCAGCAGGCCCAGGTCCTGCCTCCCTCCTCCACCTAGGCAGTGTCTCTCCCTGACCCCACCTCTCCTATCTCCCATGCAGTCCTATAGCCATCCTCTAAGTCCTTGGAGTGCATCCTCCTGTGTGAACGGAAGCTCCAGCCAGATGTGGGCTTCCAGAATCTTCCACTGGGTCTGACTCAGCCCCATGTCTGATGAGTACTGACAGCCTGGCCCTGCCCAGAGTGCACGTGTTCTTCTGAGAAAATGCATCTTGTTTCCATGTGGTTAAGGCTCTTAATCACACTCCTGGGACCCCAGAGCACTTTGAGGGGGCAGCCAGTCCTCGTGCACAGCCTGCACACACAACCTGGCCCTCCCCAGTTCTGCCCCTCCTGAACTGAGCCATTGTGGGGAAGTCACTGAACCTCCTAAAGCTCCCATTTGCTGGCAATATGTGTACAATGACAAGCCCTGCCCTGATGCCTCATGTGGGTCTGGGTGAAGCTGTGGGTGCCCAGCACAGGCCTAGTCTGTGGCATGATCCACATGGGTTGATTGGAAGAACCCATTTGTCTGTGGTCTCTGCCACACCAACTCCTCCAGGACTAAGACTGGACTTCCTTCCGGTCCTCTGCTTTGCAGATGGAGAGGCAAACAGAGCATGGTTCTCCGGTGGCTCTTGAGACAACCAGCAAAGAGTTAAGAGCATCACACAGCTAAGCGTCTGAGTGCCACGTGACCCTGGGTTGCGCAGCCTCAGGGTCTGCGGTGGCTGCTGTCTTCCACACTCATTTCTGGCTGGTGGCTCATGGAAAGTTTGGCTCTTTGAGCTCCAGGCCACTCCCTCTGGGGCCTGAGGCCCCAGTGACACTGGTCCTGCCTGGGAAGGACATCCAGGGCGGCCCGCCTGCCTGCGAAGCCTTGGCCAGAGCCTCTTTGCTCTGTCTCTGCCTGACTATCCCCCCCACACACACAGAGCAGCAGCCCAGCCTACTCTGCCAGCAGAGCCTCTTTCCGGCACACGGCAGCTGAGAGCTGCAACCCCTTGAGAATGGCCTTGAGAGGGCCAAGGGATTTGGACATCTGCTGGCCAACGTCAAATCCATGCTCTGTGACCCAGCTGAATGTGCTACTTCACCTCTGCAAAGCCTGTCATCCTCAGATTAAAACAGGAAGAATAGCTGTCCCCTTGCAGGGGATTAAAGAAGATAATATCAGATGTTCAACATTTATGTTAAAGAAATGATCAAAGTACATATTAGAAATGAGCATGAGCGCCCTCTAAGTAGAACGGGTCCTGTCCAGCTGCCATTTGTCCAGGTGAAAATGGGGGTCAGGTGGTGGCTAGCTCTCCCCTCCAACCAAGACAGGAGAAAGGAGCCCAGCACTGGACTGCCTAGAGCCAGGTGTGGCCAGGAGGAGGCTGGGCCTCAGTATCCCCAGCTGTACAATGCAGGGGCTGAACAGGAACCATGGACTCCACCAAAGTACTCGGGTGAGAGCCAAGCGGGACAGAAGTCTTTCCCTGAACTTACCCTATTGGGTCAGTCCTAGGGAAGAAAGCAGTGCCCCTTCCTCAAATTGGATTTGGGGTTGACTCCCCTGGCTGGAAAGGGGTGCACCCCTGTTGCAAAATGGGCTTTGCTGGCTTCCCCAGTGAGCTGAGATTTCCCCTGCCCAACCGATAGGGGCAAGACAGAAGAACGTCGTTGGGCTGAGCCTTGCTTTGCCCTTGACGCTGCTGACTGGGGTCCCAGAGCGTGTCAGGGCTTGGATGGCAGGAGTGAGAGTCACGGGAGAGGCCTAGGATCAATATTGATCTAGCTGAGTCAGGGAGGATGATGAGGAAGTGGGAATCCTGGGTGGGGCTTCCCAAAAGAAAGCTGCAGCTCTTGGCTCCCAGAACGTGTGGGAATGTGGGAGGTGGGCTCAGTACAGGGTTGCCTAGCCTGAGTGCTTATTAGGTTGTCTGGACCCCGCTCAGCCTCACAGATCCTATTCTCTGAGGTCAGGGGCCCCACTGCTTTATTTTCAGCAGATTCCTTGAGTGACTATGCAGCAGCCAGGGAATGAACCTGTTCACCAAGTTCAAGACCACAGGTTCAATGTTGTTACAACAAGGGAACTGAGACCCAGAGAGGGGACTCAGAAGAGGGCACAGTGAGAGCAAGGTTACAAATATCCCTTTCCCTTAGGGAGGAAGAGGAGGTCTACCTGTAGCCTCCTCCACCCATGTGTGCAAAGGGTTGACTGGGCCAGGCCACCCTTGGGAAAGTGACTTTTGAAAACTTGGCAAGCCTGGTGGAAAAGGGAGGGTGGGGCTGTGCTCAGGAGGAAGGACAGGAGAGGGGGCCAGTCTCATGGCTGGGACTCACTTCCCCTGGCCCTGTGCAAACACTCCCAGCACCTGCTAGAGGGTGCTTCCGGAAAGCCCGACTGTAGCCCAGGTCTGGACAGGCACCTTTGCTGCCAGGGCCCCCAAGTCCTTAAAGGCATAGCTACACCATGGTAGGCTCAGAGCGCCCTCAGCCACATGATGCTTCTGGCTCTGAGGCCTGTTCTGCACCCCACTCCCCATTGCCCTGGGCAGCCAGCCTCTGTGCTCCCCCTCAGTATTCCCCTCCCTCTGTTGTCATCAAGTCACTCCACAAAGCTGTCCCCAAGCCCCCAGCCAGTTCTCTCCCCCACCCCAGGCTCCCCAAACCTTGCACCTGCAAGTCCAGCTGCAGGCCCACCTGCCTTGAAGTGTTGCTCTCTGTCAGGGCATCCCTGGGGGCGGAAGACAGGTCTAGCTCACTACCAAGCTTCCTTCCTTCCAGCCTGGACCCAGCAGACCCAAGGAAGCAAGTGTTCATGGTGGCTCAGATTCCAGTATCTCATACAGACTTCATGCCTCAAACTCACTCAGCAGCTGTCCTCAGCCCTGGACAGGTTCACAGGGTGAAAAAAATGGCAGAGCCCTTGGGAGAGGGAGGTTCTGAGGATCACACGCACAAATAATAAGACGTATCTGATCCTTGGTGGCACCCAGAACTGGCCGCTGTCCTGCAGAGGCGAGGGGGTGCTCACACCCACTTGTATCTACCTCTCCTTCCCTCCAGTCACGCAGGTTTGCAGGGAGACTCCCTGTGAGACCATCAGGTTTCCTGCACCCCGGGGAGCACACAGTTGTGCAGACTCTTGCTTAGTAACTTCCCACCAGAGGCCTGTGGTGGGGAGGGAGAGCACATGGTGGGAGCCAGGAAGGACAGGCGTGCAGTAGTTAGGAGGGGACAGAGGGTGACAGGGAGGGGAGCTTCTCAGAACACCAGTCATGACTTCCCGGCATCCAGAGGCAAAAGAAAAACACAGCCCAGGGTGAGGGAAGTCCCCAGAGAGAGCAAGAGCCCCGTACTTCCAAATTAGGAGGCCGAGTGAGTCCTGGCTCAGGGTCTTTGAAGAAGCCTCTTTGCCTGTGAGTCTCTATCTTTATCTTCAAAATACATAGAGCTGTTTTATTAGGATAAGAGCACGCTGTAAACTAGAGAGCATCATGCCCCATATAATACCAGTGTTTATAGTGGAGTTGCTGCTTTTGAGAGTTAAAGGCTACTTTGTCTTCACGTCAGCTGGGCCCTCCAGAATTTAGCAGATGCAGAGGCCAAGGAACACCTGTAGGCCGTGCCTATGCTGCCCCCTGCTGGCAACTTCCTGTCATGGCAGCCCCGCCCTTAAACCCTTCCGCACTGTCCAGGTGGAGAAGTCTGACTGGAAGTTAGAAGCCTCCTGTGTAGGTTTTGTGAACTCCTGGACAAGGTGAACACAGAAGTCCCCAGGCCCTTCTTGGTCTTCTCAGCCTCGCCCTGTGCTCAAACAGTGAAAGGCCTTACATGTATGCAAGAAGAACCCACTCCACAAACAGGCAGCAAGGATAGGCTGGGAAAGCAGCTGGTGCAGACCCGGATCTCTGGATACCCTGGGCTTGTTCAGGGAGGCACAGCCCCTTGGTTCTGTGGGATCTGGGCCTGGGCTTGGGGTGGCTTGTGGTGATCAATGTCTCATGTGCTTGGAACTGTCCTAGTCTTAGTCCCAGAAATCATGTATCAGCAGATGGGGTGTTTGGCCACTCCTGTGAGCCAAAGAGTCCCCAGGCCTCAGCATGCCCACCAGGATCAGTGGCCCAGCCCCTCTACAGCCTGTGGGCCTCTCACAGCCATATAGTTCCCCAGCCTCAGTCCCTGCCAGGGCACTTGGCTCACAGTGTATTTGTGGGAAGAGAAAATTTCTTTCCCTTGCCTCATTCTCCAAACCTCCCTAGGTGCTCTGAGGGCTGGGGCTTATCTGTGAGGTTGGACTGGAGGAAAAGAATGGAAAGGAGTTATTCCAGAACATCTCCTCTTCATAAAGGGAAAGTGAGGCTCAGAGGACACAGCCTTGCCTGGAAGCCCCTGGGGAAGGCTGTAGCTCTTGGCTCTCAGTGGCAACCCATGTCCACACTCTTGCCCTTGTTAAAGGTACCCCAGGTGCCAGAGAAGAGCTGTCTCCATCCGAGGCTGTACGGATGGGACACGTGGTCCAGGACTAAGCCCACATGGATTGGCTCAGCAGCCCTGAGCCAATCAGAATGAAGACCGGGACTTTGATTTTGCAACAGAGGAGATCCGGAACAGGAAGCGAACACCAACACCTCTAGGATGCGGTGTTTGACTAAGGCAGGGAGACACAAAGTGCACAGGATTTTGTAGCTATTTATTGCACTGAAAACACCAAGAATAAAACAGACACCCTTTCTTCCCTCCCACCCCCCAATAGCAGAAGTTTTGAGCAGTGGTCATTCAAGTTCACAGCCACATGTTTTTAGAAAAACAAAACAAAGAAAGAACTGAAACAAAACCCCAAACAAATAATAACAAAGAAACCAGCATGGGGAGTCTGGCAAACACATCCCCCAAAGGGCTCCCTTTAAAGGGAGACTGGAGGCCCTGGGTCAGGATTTGCGCTGCAGTAGCGCAAACTAGTAGAGCACTTTCCTGTAAACGGAGTTGCATGCTGGAGCCTGGGTTTTGACTCAGGTCTGGATTTTTTGCATCTAAAGGGTGTTTACGAGGAGCACAGAGCTTATCTGGTGAGGTTGGGCTCTGGGTAGTTTTTCCTGCCAGTGTCTCCTGCCTGTTGCCTAAGGGTCACTGTGGTGCCTGGGCAGACGCCAGGTGACTGCCTACCCCAGGAGTGGCCTGTGCAGTGGGGCCACCTTAGTCTGCAGTAGGGACCTGCCTCTAATTCTCTAGCCCGTGAGAGGCACACAGTAGACAAGTGGTGCACCAGCCAGGGAAAGGACATTGGGGTCCTTCAGCTCAGTTTCCTCTGATGAAGAAACCAAGGTCCAGAGGGGAGAGGATTCACCCAAGGTCATACAGCAAGTCTAGTCAGTGCTGGGAGCCAAAGCCTGCAAGCCCTGCAGCCATTTCTTCTTTCCCTGCAGTCCACAGCTGAAAAGCAGCGGGCAGGCATTGAGGAGGAGAAAGAAGGGCCTACAGGGCAGAGGATGGGGACTGGCCAGGCCTAGAAGCAAGCGGGACACCAGTCAATGGCAAGCCCTATAAATTCTCACAGGTGTATTGGGCTTCATGCTCTCCATCCATTTGATCTTCCATCAGCCTAGGTAGGGACACTTAACCTGCCTTTAACTGATGGAGAAAGTGAGGCTGAGGAAGGGACTAGACCTTGCTCGGTGATTGTAGCATCCCCTGGTGAAGCTGTGCCCTCACCTTTGGCTGGGGATGGCTACGGAACTGGCAGGTTGCAGAGGGACAGGTGATTTTTCTGCTGGGGCAGTAGGATCACTGGGCCTCACTGAGGAGCCCTCTGGGCCGGGGTTGGGCCAAGAACCCACCCTCGGGCCTGGGAAGCAGGGTCTCTGCCGAGGACAGAGGCCAGTGATGGGCCAGCTTAAAAACCAGAGGCCTGGGCGGCCACTTTCCTGGGCCTGCAGCCTGGCCTGTCTCACCTGTCCCTGGGCAGCAGGACTTGAGAAGAGTCCAACAGACAGCTCGTGATGAGGTGAAGCTCAGAAAGGTCTGGATTAAACATTCCCACCAATTCTGCTCCAAAAAATACCCAGGAGGGTCAGGGGAGCCAGAGCTGTCTCCAAACCCTTGGGGATGTGTCTCTTCCTCCCCTAAAATCCTCCAGAGGGGACAGTATCTCATGCTGGCAAAACACGGCCACACAGAGGCCAAAAGCACAGAGAGGCAGCGACATAATTCCAAGTCGGACATTGAGAATACAACCTCTATTATTCTTAGTTTTTTGTCCAAAACATGTAGATTGATTTGTTGAATGTTTTTCTTTTTTTTTTTTTTTTTTCAACATACTTACTGCATATAAAGTCATGCAAAAAAAACTGCAGACAGGAGATCCTTGCGGATGGGCCAAGGCATTCCACATCGGGCCAACCCCAGGGGCAGAGGACAAGAGGGAGAAGGGGAGGCTGCAAACCTCAAGTGCAGCATGAGGTGCGAAGAGCAGAAACCCAACAGAGGCCAAGGGGGGACGAGAGATGGTGACTTGAGCTGGGGGCCGGGGGTGGCACCCAGACATGGAGGAATGAAGCCCTGGGAGGGGCAGGCATAGGACCCCACCTTGTGAGAGAAGCAAAACCGAGCCCAGATACCTCCATCCTGACCACCCCTCCCTCTCCTGCCTTGCCACTTCTAGGTCACTCCAGCTCCTGATGCTTCCTCGGTCCTGGCAGGAAGCCCTGCACCAGCTTACCTCAGGACCATGGTAAAGCAACGGCAGAGGGCGCCGTGTGTCCTGGGGTCAAGTCCCCAGATAACCCCAGGGGCAAGGTCCACCTCAGAAATGTAAAAAAATAAAATAAAATAAAGTAGAACAAAATAAAAACTACCCCTCATTCCTTCTTCCAAGCCCTCTTCCCAACCCAACCCTCCTCACAATAATTTGAGAGGTCTAGTTATTACATAAATATCCATTAACATGAAATCCATTTACGAAATACACAGAATTTTGGCTATAAAAAGGCATGCTGTCCAAGTAGAAGAGATACCTAAACGGTGTTTTCTTTTGCCCCTGAAACACGATCAGATTCCTTCTCTCAGACTGGATGGAGCTGGAATTCTCCAGAGTCAATGGACTGGAAGGTGGGTGAGCGCATCAGTGCCGGAGGGCTGCAGTGGGGACAGCTGAGGAGAGGTCGAGCTCCCCACACTGTGGTGCGCGGCAGGTGGTGAGCAGCAGGCAGGAAGGGTGAGCAGACACCACGAGGCCAGTGTGGGCGTGGGGAAATTGGGGCAGCAGTTCGAGACAAGGGGCTCCTGGTATCTGCTCCTCTCTTACCCTCTCCCACAGGAAGATTAGCTTGGGGGAGTTTTGGGGGTTCATCTGCCCTTCCCCAGGGACCCCAGAAAAGATAAGATCCAGGAGAAGGTCAGCCATCTGTGCCGTGTACCCCTCCTTCTCCTGCCCTGGTGAACCCACAGCTGAGGTGGTCTAGCCTATAGCCAGGGCCAGATGGGGTTCACGACAGCTGGGTGGAGGTCGGGGGTCTCTGGGCCAGCACCCTGGGTACCCAAGCCTGAGCAGTCCTGTCCTGGCAGGGAGGGAACAAGGGAGGTGGGTGGGGAGGTTTGGCCATTTGCTGTGAACTTGTGATGGCTTTTGTGAACAAGCAGGGTTCCTTGATGCAGGTGCAGAAGTGACAGTGGTGGTGTTGGGGTAACGTGGTGGGGAGAATTCCAGCAAAATCCAGTGGGAGAGCCAGCAGCACATTCCATGGACAAAGAGTGGATCCCTGCGACAGCAGTGCAGTGACCCCGGCCTGGTTCTTCAACTGGAAGACACAACATTGGGGCGCTTTGAGAGAGGCACATGCCCCTTGGGGGTCTCCCCACCCATCCCTCTATAGCCTCCCCACACCAGATGTGCCCCTCCAGCTGACACCCTTCCCGCTCCTTCAGATTACCCTAGAAGGGACAGGCAGAAAGGATTCTTACTGGGGCAGGACGGAGGGTGCCCCAGATCTGTGGAAGTGGACGATCTGCCATTTGCCATCCCTGCGGTGCCAGACACGGGTCTCCTCTGACTGAGCGGTACGGGGGATGCCTCCGGCGTCCAGGTACTGCGTGATGCGGATGTAGGCGATGCAGGCCGACTCATCGCCCATCAGGTGGATGTGGGGGTTCAGGATGGTGGTGTGCACAGGCTTGCTGTTCCGGGACCACACTGGAGGTGGGAGGGAGGAGCACGGGAGATGCAGGAGGCCTTCCGCCTCCCTTCTGCCTCCCTTCCTCCACTCTCTCAACGCCCAGCAGCCCTCCCTGTTAGTGCGGCTCTTCTGTCTGCCTCTTTCATAGAAGGGACTCTCTGGAACAGGCCTGAACCACCTTTGAGTCTCTGTAGAACTTCTAGGTAACAGAGGCACCATAGCCCAGCTTAGAGGCAGTGGGTTTCAGACATGCTGAATCCTTCAAACGTGGCAGGGGTTAGACTCAGCCTCTTGGACTCAGAAGAATAGGGCCAGGATGATCACAGAACCAGAAAAGCTCGATCTCATTCAACCCAGATCCTCATAGGGACCAGGCAGTCAGTCATAAACAAAGGACCTGAGCTGGGGACAAAATGCTGAATGACAAGTGGCCCTTTCCCTCTGGGCCAGGGAGGCTGTGGTGACAGGAAGACCTTGTCCTCTCTAAAGAGGACTGCTGTCCAAGGCTTCCCCCTGCGGTTATGATGCTGAATAAATTGCCACGCCTGGCATGAAAACTTATTTTACAGTGTAATTCCAACTTGAAGGCCACATGAAATGTCTGCAATCCACATAGGGCCCATGTCCTCCCTGGCGGCCACCTCCAGACACATAGTCACGGGAACTTGGGGAGTATTAGACTTGCAGAATCTTAGAACCTTGAACTTTGTAGGATTATGCTGGTAGCCGTGGGGTGGGGCCATGGAGCTTTCCACGGTCAGGAGAAAATGATAGTTCTTATGATCAGGGGCAGGACTGGTCAAAGTACTGACACCTACTCCTGCTGCAAGGAAGAAGAGCCATCATCGCTAGCATGATTGCGCTGGCTTGGGAGACTCAGGTTTTTTGTTTTTTGGGTTTTTTTTTTTTTTTCATTAAGATATAATACAAAAGCACACAACGACAATGACCCAGGGGTAGGGTAGACAGTATACTTTTGCAGTACTAGGGATTGAACCTATGGCCTTGCACATGTTAGGCAAGCACTCTCCCCTTGAGCTATATCCCCACCCTTTTTAAGAATTTTTTTCTTTAACTTTGAAACATAGTCTTGCCAAGTCGCCTAGCCCGACCTCACACTTGTGATCCTCCTGCCTCAGTTTCTTGAGAAGCTGGGATTACAGGTATGTCTACCTTGTCCAGGTGGCTTCCCACCCTCCCGGGGAATCTTGTACCTTCCCTTACCCTAATCTAAATGTGGGTCCTAACTAGTGGATTGATGATTTAAAATACATATTCCCAGTTCGGCAAATGCAGTATAAATGTCCTATCTCTGACCCCACCTCTGACTCTGATGTCTAGCCAAACTTGTGAGTCATTTATTTCCTGAAAAATATAAAGTGTCTTTTTTGTTCGATTGTTCTGCTGTTTTGTGGTGTTTTATTTTGCTTTATGGACTGCAGAAAACATCCCATATATCCATTCCCTAGTATACTCATCACACTCTATCCAATCTTTAAATAATGAGCAAAATCATGAGTCACAGACATATAGAACAACAGACTTCGAATCCTGGGCTCAGACATACAGAATGTAACCTTTAGAGTCATAGGTTAAAGATACACCTCAGGGGTGAAGGTCATCAAAGGGCCCTCCCACAAGAAGCAAGGAGGCCTCTGTAAACTTCCCTGACATCATGCAGGACTGGAGGCCGGCAAGGCCATCTGTTTCAATGTAGCCACTTAACATTTATGGAAACTGAGACCCAGAAATGCCACAAGAGGCCACTTTCTGGAAGAAACACGGTCAAAACTAAAAGAAGTCAGGTTTCCAGTGGAGCTGGCTTAGGAAAATCTAGAACGATTCCAGAAGGGACAAACAGCTTAGCATTGCTGGGGAGATGAGCTTTACCATTTTCTGGTAAGGAAGGGCTGGGGTCCCCCTGGGGCGCCACCCCAACCTGGTGTCTCTTGACCAGAGCAGAGACTGTGAGGTGCATCCTGATGGATAGATGGGGACAGGGACAGTTCCCGCACAGGACCAGCTGGGCATCTGGAGGTGGGGCTTATGGGAGGGAGCCTTCACTCTGGGTCTCACTCCTGTGGGTTCTGCCCCGGAGGTGGCAGGCTGCATTAGATGCTGCATTAGGATGCAGCTCACTGCCTGAGACAGCAAGACAGCCAGCAGCTGTTGAACAGGCTCCTCTGTGTGGGTCCTGTAGCTCATCCCTGTGCCAGCAGTTAAACCTTCTGGTCTCTGATTTCCTTTGTGGGGCCTGGAGAGTTCACATGGGGATCCAGTGCCCTCAGAGCACAGAGGTGTAATGACGACAGCAGGGATCTGCTGGGATCTCCGAGGTGGCAGGGCATCATAGGGTCCAGCCACTGCTCTTTGTATGAGAACTCACTCTCCATTACTCGCCTTAGAGGACCAGAGTTCAATTCAGTAAGGTAAGCTGGAGTGTCCTGTTTCACACCTTTTATCTGGGGGGGAGTAGGAGTGTCCTGGAGTTTCTGTATTCTATAAAACTTCAGCCAAAGGGTGCAGGCCAGGGGAGGCCATCAACCCAGACAGGTCGCTAGAGTGTGGATGTGACAGGCAGCATGCAAAAGGCAGGGGCCACCCCCCCAGGGGGAGGGTGACTCAGGGCCAGGTTGTGCTGCTGGTTGGCAAGCAGGATTTCTTTGGACAAGTCACTACCCCTCCCTGAGCCTCAGTTTCTCCTTCTGAATGACAAAGATTATTCAGTCACTGAAGTACCACCCTTGTTACTGTCACCATACGTGAGTGCAACCTATACTTATTTCATAAAAATATTTTAAATTACTGTTTCTTTAAAAAAAAAAAAACAAAACTCTTCTAGGGCTTGCCGGATAGCTCAGTGGATTAAAATGCCTGTTTAGGCAGAAGCAGGGGCCAGGGATTTGATCTCAGCCTTTCTTGCCAGCCCCGCCCCAAGGGCATGCTGAGCGGTTGACTGAGAGTGGGCATGGTGGCATGTGCCTGTAATCCCAGCACTCGGGACTGAAAAACAGGAAGGATCACTAGGAGTCTGATCTGTGTAGTGAGATCCTGTACTAAATACATAAATAAATAAATAAATAAATAAATTAAATATATTAAAAGAACTTCTAGCACAATGGTTAATGGGCAATCCGTTGCACAGAATGAAATTTTAATAAGGCCGGTGAAAACAAGAGTTACATAATCCTTGCCCCATGCTCTTGACTGTGAGACACCTTGGGACATGCATCTAATTTATGGTACTGGGGGTTGAACCCAGGGCATTTTTGGTAAGCTACATTCCCAGCCTGTTTCTTTCTGTCTTAGATGGGGTCTCGTTAAATCACTAAAATGTCCAGGCTGGATTGAACTTGTGACTTTCCTGCCTCTGCCTTGAAGAACGTGTGTGTGGCACCACACCCTGATATGCTTGCTCCTCAGTGAAGAGAGAAACCAGGGACGATCAGAGAGGCGTTGGCCACAGCAGGGCACCCATTTGAGTCTTCCCTTTGGGAAGGCCAGAGCATTGAAAGAATTGGATTGGACTAGCTTTCTCACTGTGCAAACGGGCTCTAGGTGGTGTCTCTATGCACCTGCGATCACTTCGCTTAGCCACCCCAGGGGTAAGCACTCTGAACGGCATGATTCTAACCTGTGTGTCCTTTGCCTGGTTCCTATCTGACCCATGGCCTAGCTGAAACACAGACATAGGCAGAAAGTGCCATGGTAAAAAAAAAGAAAGAAAGAAAGAAAGAAAGAAAGAAAGAAAGAAAGAAAGAAAGAAAGAAAGAAAAAGAAGCCTCAGCCCACCAACAGTGCCTGGTTGCAAAGCTGTAGCTCCTGCAAACGAGAGGCCCGGGAAGGACAGACACGCAAGATAGAGACCTGGACAAACAGTCAGGGCACAGCAGTGTGAGCTCTCTGTCCTCTACTTTCCCAAACTACCACCTACAGGGAGCACAAGCAGCACAACCAGAAGCCAGCTTGTGACCTGCTGCCCAGGGGGCCATCTGGGCACCTGATCCGCACTAGGGGTGTACGCCAGCAGAAAGGCTCCTTTTTCTGCAAAGTGGGGGTGTGCCCCAGAGTCCAGGGCAGGCATGGAGTGTTCTACATACTCCTGGTCTCTGGGATACCCTGCCCCTACCTCATCCTCAGTCACAGGAGGGACAGCTGGCCATGGAAAGGCCAAGTATAGGAGAGACAACCATGAGGGCACCAACCCTGTCCATACAGCCTCTTCCTCTTCGCTGGCTCCTGAGCTACCCCTGGGGCCCTATCCATCACCCTGCTGTGCCCATTGGGTAGGACACAGAAATGAGAGCAGATAACAGGCACCCCAGAAAGAAAGGATTGCTCACGGTTTTCAAAATAGAATCGATGGAAGTCCAGGCCCTCCACCAGGTTCCCAAGGGCCTCGGGTTCGAAGGCTGTCATCCCAGGATCGCACATCTTCCTAGGGGGAAGGAAGCCAGAGGAGAGGGGGGCTGGGGCAGCTTCTCACAGTGCCCTTCAGGTGAGCTGCGAAGTTGGAATAGTTGCTCCCACCTCACAGCGTCAAGGAGGAAGGTGGATAGGATGGAGCTTGCCAACTTGCAAGTTGAGATAGGGGGCCTCTCTGACTGACTGGTGAGTCCAGATTCAGGAAACCTAGGTTCGGGTCTTGCCACTTGCTGATTATGAGACCCCAAGCAAGTGGCTTAGCATCTTGAAGCAAGAGCATCACGAATGAGCGTGCATGGAAGATTCAGGAAGGCAAAACTCAGCCTCCCCTGTGCTCACCACCCTGCTACTCAGCTCTGGTCAGTGGATCCTGAGGACTTTTTCTAATTTGTCTGCCTGGAAAGGGGGAAAGGTGCCATTCTTCCCTGTAAAAGTGACCTCTGCTCACCTGAGTCAGGTATGTAGATGGAAGGGATTTATTAATTTGAACTGTGGTTGGCAGCAGTCCTGACCAGGAGCCTCAGTTTCCTCACAAGTAAGATAAGGAAAGCAGCACTAGAGGAGGGGCTATCTGGGGTATGGGAAGAGCATAATGCTCCACCAAGGAGGCCCCAACACCAGCAGCCTAGCTGTTTTCAGGGAGTTCTCTCTGCCAGGTCTCAGCCTTCTGGAGACTCTGACAGTCATGCAAGTGAAGGGCTGAATCATCTACCCATACCCAGATTTACAGGATCTCTGGTGGCACAACAGTGACCACCGTGATGAAGAAGCCAGCACAGAACATACCTCCATCCCCAGCAGGTGAACCTCCCAGTCCAGGGTGGAACTGGAGGAGCCACGAGAACATGGCAGGCTCAGCATTGTCTGAGTGGCACAAACCCCTTGTGGGGGACCCTACACAACTCATTTTTCCACTCAGGAGCTCAGATTCTGCAGGCAGAGTAAGCCCAGGGTAGGAATCTTCTTAGACCAATTAGGTTGTTCAGGACCCTCCTAGCTCCAGAACTTTCCAAGGTTGAGATGTGGAGACCGAGCAGCCCCTGGAAGAAGCCCCACTTGGGGACGTGTCTGAGTGCTCCTGTCTCTTGGTCTAGACAATTCAGAGACTAGTGCTCCGGATGCACCGTACATATGTGGAAACTGAGGCTCAATAAAATGAGGGGCTTATGTAGGGATATGGAAGCCTGGACTCAGGGGTACCACAGCCCCAGGCATTAAGACAAGGGTCAAAGCCTAGAGCACAATGCAGATGCCAAAAGAGATGACATCACAGAGGTGGAGAGGGCCCCCAGGACCCTCAGGAATGCCCTAAGTGTCTTAGGGTCCACAGGAGCCACCCGCTTTTCCTTACTCTCTGGCTGGGCCTTTCCAGAGCCCAGAGCCATGGGCATGGTACATCCCAGCAGTTTTACTTGGGATGGCTGCAAGACTACTGCAACAGCCTGATTCTGTGCTTTCAGGCAACACCCATGCACACACACACCTGTGCATAGTCCTTGTGCACACAGTGACAAATGCACACACATGTACAAGTGCATGCAAACACGTGTGTTTAGTGCATGCCAGCCCCAGGTTCACACGGCACCTTCCAAGTGCCTTGATGTCCAGAGAGAAGCTTTGTCACTCACTGATGCTGACAGCTTCATATGGTGAGAATGTGCCTGGCCTGCCACACCTTTGGGAAGGTCACTGAGTCTCCTGGTACAGAGGAAGGCAGGATAAGCCAGGTTGCCTTCACCCTTAACCCAGTGGCCAAGGGTCACCTCCCTTTGTTAGTGGCTTTTTTCCACCAAAAAATCTATGTGGAGGTCACTAGGCACAGACATTGTCAGCACTGACCAAAATGCTAAGGCCTAAGCCCAGAATGTGGGCTCTCCCGGAGGCCCGCCTAGGGGCTGCTTCTGCCCCGACCAGGAAAGCAGGAATGGCCACCAGGGGGCGCGCCAGCCCAGCCCGTGCGCACACGGACCCTCAAAAGGTGTGCCTGGGAAGTCTCAGACCATCTGTTTCATTTTATGCCATTTGTGCATTCCTGTCTTCTTCCCTCAGACTGTGATGAATGATGGTTCTGCTCAAGGAATTAGTGCCCACCCCAGCTGGTTGGCAGTGCCCACCCTCTTGGGCTTTGCCCACTCCTGCCCAGCTGTGGTCACAGATGTGAGGAGATGCAGGGCAAGGACCAGGTCTGTTCAGAGGCCTGAGGATACTGGGATGGAGACCCCTCTTTCCTTGGGGAGCAGAGGTATTTTGCTGGGATTTCTTCTGGGAATGGTGCACAAAGAGGCAGAGCAGGAGGGGAGGAGGCTGAAGCGGGCAGGGGCATTGTGAGCGGGCAGGTTCTTCGGAAGCATTGTGTCAGAACACAGCCAACGCTGGCACTCAGGCTCATTGGCAGCATGCAGCGCTGGGGAGTGGGGTCAGCCAGGAGGAGCAAGAAGGACCCCCAGAGTCAGCCCCTGGCACCCTTGAACTGCAACCCAGGCAGACATGCAGAATGAGCCCAGCCGACTCACGTGTAGGATTCAAAATCTCCATTGCTTATGGCTTCAATCAGCTGTTCTGTCACTTTTATAATTTCCTGTTTCCGCACTGTAAGGCAGGAGGGGACAGAAGTCATAATAATGGTAGTAAGGAAGCACCAACCTGTCTCCTAAGTCCTTGTGTGCCACACAGCCCTACGCTGGGACCTGAGACCTTGTGAGGACTATCCCCTTTATCCTTGTATTTCCCCTGGGAGGTAAATCCCATAAGCCCCATTTCAGAGAAGAAACTAAGGCCCAGAAGGGTGAAATTGCCATAACTACGGAGGGTGAAGGCAGATTTCAGCTGGTGGTCTCACCTCCAAAAAGCGTGGTGGACATTCTCACTCTAGGGTTGGTTTGAACCCTGCTCTTGAAGCCAAAGTATGTATCACTTCCACTTAGCATGACCATGTGAATGCGAACAGTGCCCTGTTACATCAGCACTGATGGTGTGAACCAGCACTATGCCGTGGCCGGACCAGAGGCTGTGAAGGAGAGTCTTGGAGTCTACTCACCCCTTGTGTCTGGGTGAGCTTTCTGCTCAATTTTGGGTACCTGTAAAATTCAGGCACTGAGCTGTCTAGAACTTTCTAGGATCAATGGATTCCAGTTGTTCTGCCCTGTCTGCTCCTGAAACACGAAACAACTGGTCTTGAGAGAGGGTGAGGCATCCATTTTCTCATTAGATGTGTGAAGTTCTGAGCCTTGGGCTTCCCATCTGTAGAGTTGGGATGTTGCCACCTGTCATTTGTCTGTGCCGAACATGTGACAGAACAAGCCCAGGAAAATCTTTGTCTAAATTCCAGCCCATGTCCTTCCAAGCTGTGTGGCCAGCAAATGCTGGTCTGTCCAATGAAGACACTGGTGTCCTCCTGAGTGCTGTTGCAGGGTGGAATAAGGTAACTGCCCAAAACCTTTGTCACAAAGCCTGGCACTCAGTAGGTGCCCATGGCAGGCACTGTGCATTTCCTGCAGCTCCCACACAGGGGCAGCCTTGCCTGCTCCTCACGAATAGGCCAGCGGGGCCCCAAGTCGCATGTGAGGTGTCAGAGCCCAGTGGTGAGAGTCTGAAGCTCTCCTGGCTCACAGCAGGAGCTTCCTCGGGTCTCAGTCCCTCAGTCCTCGAGACCTGCCCCCCTCCCCTGACACTGGAAGCTGAGGTTTGTGCACCCAGGCCGGGCCTTAGAACTTCCCAGCTGGGCTGGGAGAGAGAGCAAGCCTGGCTGCAGCCTCACCAGGCCCTTTCTCACCATACCAGGAGCTCATTCTGGCCCAGGAGATGCAGAATCATACAACATCCGGGCTGGGAGAGCTCTGGAAACCAGGAATTTTACCTCTTCCAAACTGCTTCAGACACTGAGGCCCAGTGAGGGCTTGGGACCTGCTTGAGGACATGGTGCCCAGCAGGGGCAGGGTTTGACTCAGAGCCCAGGGCCTTTCCCACAGGTCGCTGGCCCCCCGACCCACCTGCTGTTATGATGCTGGTGCCAGGCAGTTGCTTGGTCACTAGGCACATCTGGTCCTATACTCAGTGTGTGCTCACTGAGGTTGGGCCACGGCCTCCCTGGAACCTAGAACAGACCTGGCCCCTCAGGCCTCTGATGCCGACTGAGAGGTGAGCAGGCACCTGGTCCTGTGCAGTGTGCTCAACCTCAAGGTCTCAGCTTCACGCCCATGTCATGAGAAAGTGGAAGGCTGAATGCCAGGCTCTGGCAAAACTTTGACCTCAAGCAGAGTCTGCCGCTCCAAAGCCCACTCTACTCCCTATACCCAGGCATACAAGGTCCTCCTGGTGTTCTATGGGTAGACAGAGCAACTGTCCTTTAATTCTGGTCCCTAGTGAACAGCTAATTCTTTTCTCTTGACTCCAGTTAGAATCACCGAGGCCAGGAATAAGTCCCTCTTTAGACTTCAAGTGTCCCCACATCGTGCCAGGGCTGTCCTACTCCTGGGAACTCTCCTTGGTAGGGACAGGGTCAGCTCTCAGTACAGAGATGGAGGAGATGAAGGAGCGGCAGGTGGCTCTGACCCAGAGTTTGGAGCTGCTGCCTTTGCCCTGCTCCTGGATTCGCCCAAGTGATGTGGTTGCCCCAGAACCCCCAGAACCCCCAGAACCTGGCCACCTGTCATTGAAGATTAGAAAGCCTGGTTCTGCTAGGCGCTGCTGCTTCAGGCTGGTCTCCCCCACACTGAAGCAGAGGTGACAACATGCTTGGGACCTGTGCCACCACCCTGACCTTCTCTGCATAGACTTTAAGGCCTTCCAGCTTGTCATATCATGAGCCACTGTGCACAGTCCTATTTCCCATGGGTGGCTTCTTAAGATAACACAGGGGGTCCAACAAAGAGACTAAGGGTTTATATTCTGAAGCCAGACTCCTAGGGTTTGGATTATTGCTCTGCCACCACTGTATGCCCTTGGGTAAGAGACTGCCCCAAGCCTCAGTGTCCCTACATTATGACAAGGATACTAATAGTGCCCACCCTATTGAGGTGAGGTGAGGCTATGTTGGTAGAAACAGCTAGCACATACGCAGTCCCCACTGGGAGCTAGCTGCTGTTCCAAACCCCTAATGTCAACTCATTCTAGTAAATTGTGAGGCCTCTAGTCAGCATTCAGAACAGTTCTTGCTCTCTATAAGAGCTGCCATTTTTACCATCTGGAAATCTCGAGTTGGAAGCTCATCCCAAGCACAGCCTGAGTCTCTAGCCATGGCAAGACTGTTTCCCAGGAGCCTGACGTGCGGGGCTCAGCCCCCACTGCAGCCTTAGGGATGGCACTCTGCCAGGCAGCCCACTGCGTTGGGATGCAGCTCTCATCATGTGGAGCACCTTCCTTCTGGGTGAAATCAGTGCCCCCAAAGCCCCAGATTAGGGTCCTGGTCTTCTTTTTGCCTTCTGGGTCCCTAATGTGAGCATCGCCCCCAACAGTGTAGGGCTTGGAGCCTCCAGGCTGTGGTCTCCTAGTCCCGCCTCCAGCTGGCCACCTACTCTTCAAGCTGTCTGGACACTTCTGTGAGTGTGAAGCATGTCTCAGGTGTGGCCTGGACAGTGTAGAATAAGAGGTGTAGAGTGGCACTCTGTGCTCTCTTCAATCTTGGATGCTGGACGTCCACGCAGGCAGCATGCTGTGTGCCTCGCCCTCCAGCCACTGCACACCTGTGTCAGCCCTTGGGGCCTAGCAGGCAGAGTCCCCTGGCTTTGTTCTCTGGAGCAGAAGAGCAAAAGGCCTGGGCACCTGAACTTCTCAGACCTGAAGTTCGCTCTGGTACTGGGCCATTTCCACACCTTCAGGGGGCCTGCCCCTTAGCTCAGTTCTTTAAGTGGCTGTTTCAACAAAGCAGTCAGGCTCAGGTTGCCGTGGTTTAATCCCCAGAACTCAAACCAGTCAAAGCTGCTCTGAAGGCATTCGGAGCCAGAAAAAAAAAAAAAAAAAAAAAAAAAAATCACACCTTCAGCACCCCTGGTGCTGTCCAGGGGTTCAGCTAGCAGCAGCTCTGGCGTTTCCCCTCTGCGAGGAATTCACCCGAACAGTGCAGGCATGCTTCCCTACTGAGGCCCAGAGAGGGCCGGTTGCTCTCTTAAGATGGTCTCACAGCACTCTGAGACCAACACAATGAGACCACTATGCCTCAAATTTCCCAGAATGTCTGCCCAGATTCTGAGGCAGCCGTGAGGGTTGGAGACAAAATTAATTTTGGTGAGAGCTGTTCAGGAGGAGGCAGGGAAATGGGGAGAAGGCCCCTAGGGCAAGAAGCCTGGGCTCTGAAATATTCATGTCCCTTCCTCTCCGCTGGGGGCATCTGTTCCCCGGAGGCTGACATACCTAATTAACATTAATGTCAGGTCAGAGTCCGGAGTCCACTCCACCAGCTGCCATGCTTGCTTAGTAAAATCGCTTAACAAGTTAACGCCAGAAGATGTTCTTGTCCCCTGGAGCTTGCTGTGGGCCTGGGAGCCTCCTAAGGGACAAGGGTTCTTCTCTCCTCCACACACTAGGAGAGGTTCTCTTCCTGCAAGCAGGGTCTCTGGGGGGTTTTGTCATGGGGACACTGAGGCAGGGGGTGGCTCCTAGTTCTGTACATGCCTTTCCTCCCCTTGGGCCACAGCATCTCCTCTGTAAGAGGGGCAGAAGTGAACAAAACTTCACACTAAATTGTCCCACCCTGGTCCACCTGAATGGTGGTAGGCCCCAAGAGTGTAGCCCAGAGCTGCAGCTGGGGAGAAATGTCTGCTGGCTCTTGCTCCGCATTCACAGTCACACGCAGTATGTGTTCCATTCCAAATGGCACTCTGCGTAATGTACAAATATTTGTCTTAAATAATCTTTCAGTAAAATGGATATTCCAAGATATGTTGTATAGCTTCTTAAGAAGCCAGTTTGTAGACATTCAACTATGAACTCCAGTTGGAAAAGGAAAAAAAAAGAAATTAAGATATTTTTATATTGCTATCACATGCTAAACTGTGCATGTATGTTATGTGCAGCTTCTCATTTCATCTGCATGGTATTGCCAAGGCTGGTACAATCATCCTCACCTCCTTACTGTTATAAGGCTCAGAGAGGTTGAGAAGCTGCCTAAGACCGTCCAGCAAATGTACTCCAGTGGAGTAGTGCAGAGCAGGTCACCTCCATGACTCCTGTCTGCTCTGAGGTCAAGAGCCTGAGACCACACCCTGTTGCCTCGGAATCGCAAAGCCTGTCTCCTCCCATTGAGGCAGAGAGCCTCACACGGGGGACTGTGGTAGGAAAGTCGTGTCCACCGCAGGTTTATGGAATTGGAATGCCCAGGAGCAAAGCTGGGACTGTGACTGGAGAACCAGATTTGGGGAGCCCACAATGCGGACCCTTACTGGAGATCCTGCTGCATGTTAGAAAGATTGTCTCTGATGCCAGGCAGTGGTGATAGAAAGGCCCCCAGCTAGGGACGCCCAGAAGGATACACAGAGGCAAGCTCATCTTCAGGCTCTGGAAAACTCTTCCAGGGTCAGGAGGCAACTGTGGTGCGTGGTGTGCAAAGCTGCCGACAGCCTGAGTCACAGTAATGACTATCACTGCATTCTTTTCAAGGCAAAACACCTAAGCTCCTGAAAAATGCCACAGCTGCCATGCTGTGCTCCCTTTCCATATTCCAAAGACTCCCCAGAGGTCCCTGGTACATGCCTGAATGTACCAACCCCTGAGCTGCCTGGCCATCCTGTCCTGGCACACAAGAAGAGTCAGGCACAGTGGAGCAGAGGGACACTGCCAATGCGTCACAGATCTGGTGTCCCAAGTGCACAGAAGGAAGCACTCTGCCCGACCTTCCAAATGCTCTCTACACAGGAAGACCCCCAGGGTGATGGTGGTCAGCCAAGCTCTGGCGGGGTCTAACTCCCAACCTGTCTCTTGTGGGCCAGGTGCTCCAAGGCCTCCAGCCTGCTTCCTTGGCCAGACAACTGTGCTTATCATGCTGTCCACCTCACAGGGCTGCCATGAAGCTCTGGTACGCAGGTCCGGACAAAGTACGGAGAAGCCCAGGTCTTGGGGGTGTTCATAGGGCACAGCCCTGCGTGCTACTCGATTTCTTGTCTTGTAGCGCCTCGCAGATACCTTTGCTCCTCAAGTCTTCTTGCAGCTTTTGAGGCCTCTGAGCTGCTAGCTACATTTGCCCTGCATTTCTGGTTGGCGCTGGGCAGTCCTGCCTCCAACTGGGCTTTCCAGATTTTTGTTGTCCCTTCCTTTATTATTATCACTTCATGTTTTAAAAATCAACTCACTAGAAAACAAACTCCAAAACCCTTATTCCAAAGTGAAAATTTACACCATTATACAATATGTTAAAGTTTTTGTCTAATACACATTAAAGTAAACCTATGACCCTAAATAAGGAAAAATGATGTGTACGCCAGGCCACACATGGGGACGCTATGCCCCACAGTGTACCCAGCTTTTAGGAGCCAAGCAAGGCTCTTCCCAGAAGCAGGAAGCTGGCTGGCATGGGCTCCCGGTGCAGGGTGTGCCAGCAGGCACCAGCAAGTCTGGGGCCCAGACGCCAAAGGCAAGGCCCTTCCCTACCTTTGGTGTCTTCGTCCTCAATGGTGGTGTTGGTGCTCTCCGAAGATTCCTGCCAAAGAGAAGAAGGATGGTGGTGAGGCCTGCCTGCCCAGAGGGACAGAGCATGGCCGCCTGGCTGCCTGGTGCTGCTGCGACCTCTGGGCACCTCATGGCTCTGCTGTCCAGGAGCTTCCTGCAACCCTGCAGACCTTCCAGCCTGAGGAGGAGAGGACCCACTGAGCAGGTGGTGGGGGCCAGGTTGAAGGGATGCCTGCAAGGAGATCCCTGGCCTTTCTGGAAGAACTGAGAGGGGGATCCTGTGTCCTTTCTGCTCGAGGGGGCAGGGAGGGGTGTAGAGGAGCAGAGAGACAACATGGCAGCCACAGAATGGGGAAGGAATACACATACTGGCAGGAGAGGAAGACAGAGAGAGGGACGCCCAGTGTGAGAGAGGGTGGGCTTTCCAGAGGGGAGAAAAACCACACAACTGCGTGAGACAGCCATGGAACCAGAAGAAGAGGGACATGGGCCACCGTTGCTCATGTGGTGCCCCCGACAGAGGCAAGGCTGGTGGCTCCTCTGCCTACGTAGCCTGTGCAAGCTCATGGCAGCCTCCTAGCAGCTGTAGCTTTATCCAAACTAAGCCCCACCCTGGCTACGACTGGTAGAAATCAAGACCCGAGATGAGTTCTAGAGCAGAGGGGCAGGAGAAGCAAGAAGCCAGGGTGACATGGGCTTGGGTTCAGATCCACCTTTGTACCCCAGGAGCTCTCAGTTCTGCCGTCGGCCTGCTGACCTGAGCCGTGGAGGGAGGTGTCAACAGAAACACGCAAACAACACACACACACACAACACACATATTGTCACACGAGGCACACGTACCACGCACGCCCTGAGCACCCTCTCCCCGCCCTGGGTTCCAGTGCAGCCTGCAGGAGGGAGGCAGGAGCAAGGGAGCAAGGGGCCGAGGCCCAGCATTTACCGGCGTGCAGGAGACGGCAGACACTCACCATTAACTGAACGCTGGAACTGGACTTTCTTTTCTGGAAAAACAAGGAGAAGAGATGGGACAGGAAAAGACACAGCATGAAAACGGCAAGGAGCAGAGAAACAACAGGGCAGGTTTGGAAGGAGGATGGGCCTCAGGGTCATCCTCTGTGGTCCTTAGCTGGCCTGGCCTCAGAATAAGGAGTCAGGGCCACCAGCCACATCAGGCCTGGTGGGGCCCAGCCTCTCAGCCTGAAGTTCTGGGTCTGTGTGCACAGCAGCTGCCTGGGTCTAATGATCTAGGGGCCAAGCTCAAGGCCAGCCCTCCCTTGGGCCAGGGCTGCCCCCTGTACCTCATTCTGAGAGACATCAGAATGGCTCTTGGATGCCAGTGGCCTAAGGCCTCCAGAATCCAGTGCTCTTGAAGGACAAAAGGTTCTCAAGCCTGAAGGTCAGACCAGTGGAACCGCTATGCTTCCCAAGCAACTTTCCTAAGAGTTGGGACCCACTCCCACATAGGGAGTCACTACTACTATCACTAGAGACACTGTATATTTGTTGGGTTTTTATTACTTTGCAGGGTGGGGGATAGAATGCAGGGCCTTGTGCATGATGGGCAAACACTCTACTATCGAGCTACATGCCTAAACTCAGGAAACCTGTCAAAAGCACACAGTAACAGATCCCCTCTGAGGAACTTGATAACAAGGTCTTAGTGGGATCTGGCCACCTCCACTCTCAACAATTTCTCCAGGTGACACTGGGGATATCAGGGCCACACACAGAGGCCTGGAAATGCTGCTTGCACTCACAACTTCCCAGCAACTCTCTGAGAAGCTCCTTTATGCTGTGAGAGACGCTGAGTTGCTGCAGGAAGTGAAGCTGAGTCTAGAGCCTGAGTCTCACGACCAGCCAGCAGCAGATCCCAGCATTGGAGGGATTTGTGATGTCTCTAGCATTGGCTGTGGAGCCAGGGGTAGGTCCAAATGCAGATCGCTTTCTCCTGCCCTCACCCTCAGAGCCAGAAGTCTTAAAGACTTGAATTCAGGTGAAGGTTGATGGCCCAGCAAAGGACAGTGCGCTGCCAGGTCTGCTCAGAACCGCCCTAGCGGGGCAGAGGATGCAGGCCCTGAGTCAGGGTTCTGTCTTTTGCTGGGGATCTGGTCTGGTGCCCCTTACAGACTCACCCTACGTGTGATGCTGCCCTTTGTTCTGAGAGGCCAGGGTGAAAGAAAGACTTGAGATGCCTCTAAGGTAGTCTTGTGCCATTAGGGTCACTGAATATTCCCTGAGGGTTGCAGGTTTAATTCTGGGCTTTCTAACTCCAAGATCCTCTGTGCGGCAGGACCTAACCCTTAGCTTCCAACCAGGGCCTCCACAGATGTGAAGGGGCAGCTCCCTGGGCAGCACTTCCATGCTAATGTGCTCACAGAATGGCAGCTTCCCAGCTGGGCTGGACGGTGTGACTTCACAGCCAGCAAACTGCAAATGCCACTCTCCCCTCCTCTGCTCTCCTCTGCTCTCCTTTCCCTCCTCTCCTCTCTCCACTCTTCTCCTCTCTCTACTCCTCTCCTCTCTCATGCAGGCTTCCTTCCCTGGCTGGAGCCAGGCCAGGCACAGTGTGTGGAGAAGGGGACAGGTCCACATGGCTCAGCTGTCAGCAGAAACCCGAGGAGCCGCACAGGGGCCAGGAGGTTCCAGGCTGGACACGAAGAGGGAACACAGAGCAGAGACTGCATCGGATTTGGACGCACAGTGACAGGATGGGACATGGGGAAAGAGGTCACAACGGCATGGATGGGACACCAACAGGGGCAGTGAGTGCAGTGAGGGGTGGAAGCAGTGGGCATCTCCTTGGAGAAGCCAAGGCCCTAGAGGTGCCACTGCTTGGAGAGAGAAGGACTCAGTTTCCCTGCATCACAAAGGAGGGTGATACCGATCATCCCACGATGAACAGTGCTTTCATGTTCGGTTGACAAAGGGGCTTTCACCAAGAGTAGGGTCACCACTCCAGAATCACACATAGAAGTGAAGTTCAAAGCTTAGCGAGGGTGGTAGAAATTGAGTGTGGTCAACATTAGCCTTGAAGAGCCCTGCAAGGCCCATAAAGCACAATGATGTCACCTCTGTAACTTCAGCCATTCAGTCTTTCCTCTATCGTCAGAACCAACCTCTGTTAAGCTCTAGCTGGAATGGCAGTTTGTCTCAAAGGACCAAGTTGTAGGAAGAACATGGATTTCCTTCCTTTGGGGCTCAGCCTGTTTGCTATGCTGGCTCCACCAGATCTCCCTGATAGGACTTGCTTGCCAGCTCTTGCCAGCACCTGCTACACTTCCCTTATACAGGCGACAGAATCCAGGACCAGGGTTCTTGAAGGGAGGGAATGAATGGTGAGGCCTGGACTTAAACCCACACTTTAAAAAAAAAAAAAAAAAAGGGTTTCACTGTGCAGTTCAAGCTGGCCTTGAACTCACTGTGTAGTCCAGACTAGCTTCAAACTTGGGGCGATCCCCCCGCCCCAGCCTTCCAAGTGCTGGGATTACACACCTGAGCCACCATACCCAGCCAAATACATATTCTTGATTTGAGGAAAACATGACTGAACCTGTCTGCCCCCACTGCTGCCTTTTTTGCTCCTTCATGAATGACACATGACAAACCGGGCTCCTGAAAGCCTGGGCCAGGCCTGCTGAGTTACTCTCACCTTCCAACTGCAAGGGAAAAGAGGCTGAGCTACAGAGACGGCCAAGCCACAGCCAGCCTTCAGTGTTCCTTAGCCCCCCAGGTCCCTCTACAAAGCCACCTGGGCTCTGTCCTGTGCTGCAGGATGCAGGACATTGTTCAGCTGTGCCCACTGGAAAACTGCTGTGACAGCAAGGAGCCCTGTGTGCGAGGCGTCCCTGCCCTCTGATATCTCGGCCCTGCCTAAGAGGGCCTAGGTGTGGAGCTCATCCCATCCCAGCCCCAACCCCAGCCCCATGCCCACTGTGGCCTTCAGCAGCCTTTGCCAGGGCCCCATCTGAGAGCCCAGTAGACAGCGGCAGCTCATCATCTTCAACCGACCAGGCCCACAGCCTACCAGCACCTATGTCCTTGGCCCCACATACCCCACACTGGGACCAGGGAGACCACTTTCCCCAGGTGCTCTTCAGACTCAGCTTAGTCTCTGCATCTCTCCAAAGGTGCTCCCCTGCAAATCTATTACCCATTAAATGGGTAGGAAGCTCAGCTCACAGGTACCCCAAAGAGCAGGTAAGCCAAAACCTAGTGCCAGAATCTGTAACAGGTGCCTACTAACTTTACAGACAAGGTTGCCTTTGATCCATGGCTTCAAATATTTTCCTGAGCAAACTTTTAGTTTTCAAGACCCAAAAGCCTCATGGAGAACAATAAAGATTATCCTGCTGGTGGTCTCTTCAGGATGTATCACATATTAGCACTGTGCTAGGCACATTATACTAGCTAACACACATATATAGCCCTAGGAGCTGGACACCCTTCAAACCTCACTGCATAAAAGGATGGATTTTCTTTCTTTCTTTCTTTCTTTCTTTCTTTCTTTCTTTCTTTCTTTCTTTCTTTCTTTGGGGGGGGGGGCTGGCTCAGGATGCCTCAAGGGCAGGTCTGGTAAGGCATGAGGATCTGGGGAGCAAGCCAAAGTATCCTGAGCCTAACTGCTTTGCTTAAGCAGCCCACTTAAACAACTGAGCTAATGGGCAGGCCCCCCTCACTGAATAAAAGGAAACACAGGCTCAGGGAGTTGAAATGATCAGCAGCGATCTAGCCACCGATTGACCCATCTGGCTTTCCTAATGACCATGACACAGAGCTGTCCGGTTAAAAGGGGTGCAGAAAGCCTAAAATTTTGTACACCAAGCCCCCTCCCCTTTCTAACTCCACTCCAGCTTATCTGCTCCCAGGAGCCTCTGGGCTCCACAGAGCTCAGTTTGAAAACCACTAATTTTGACAGATTAGCAAATAACTGTGTAGAGTCATGCCTCTTAATGCCAGACACATTTTCAGAAGTGCATTGACATGATTGTGTCGTGGTGCTATCTCACACAGTCCCTCAGAGAGTGTGGCCCACTGCACAGCTGGGCTATGTGGCAACGTCTATTGCTCCATACAGCCTGGTACTGAACTGAGCACTGTGGACAACTCTGTCAAAGTGGTGCTTGTGAAGCTAAGCAATAAAGGTACTGTAAAAATAGGAATCTTGGCCCCACTAGAGCTTCTGCAACCATTTCTGTGCCTATAGTCTGTGGTTGGCTGAACCTGCAGTCCTTGACTGTATTGTTTAAGCATCCAAGAGACAGGAGAATGGAAGGTGAGGTTTTGTTGCCTTTTGTTTGTTTGTCTATTTCTAAAGTGGAAATCTTGGAAATGACCACCAAGTCACGTCTCATCCGACACACCCAAGGGAAACTCAAGAAGGAGAAAGTTAAGGGCAGAGGCGTCCGGCCCAGGCCTCTTCCCACACAACCTCTGACAGACAAAACCAGTGGCCAGAGACTATCAGTGCCACTGTAAACAAAGCCATGAAGCCTCCAGCATACCTATAGGTGGTCAGGCTCATAGAGCATCTCATACCTTCTAGGATCTTCAGCCTGTCCAGCCCTGGAACCCCAGCTGGGTGAGGCACTGAGCCCAGAGTGAGACAGGGTCTTGGGAGAAAAGAACCCACAAGGCGTTTGGGGGCAGGGGAGGAGGCAGCTGCAGAGAGCAGAAGACCAGGTCCCAGACAGCAGAGGGAGAAAAGAAAATAGATAGAAAGCAGAGGCCAGCAGAGTGTGGCGGGAAGTAGCTCGGGCATCAAGGGTAGGGATAGGTACAGGTCCTGCCAGGCATGGGAGGGCGTTCCTGCCAATGAACGGTGGACATCAGTGGGGAAAAGGGACCTCTGGATCCCAAAGCCAGAGGGGATGGCTGTCCATACTCTACTGGTTCTTTTGGTTGGACTGATATGTCCAGCAGGTCAGCAGGTCAGCAGGTCAGGGCCCATTCCAGCCCACCCACACTCGGGCAGCAGGGGGTCACTCACCCCCCCCAGGGCCACTTCTATCCCTCCTTTGTGCCCTTGCGCTCACCAGTTCTCCAGCTCCAGAGAACCCCTAAAGCTTCCTCTGGCCGGCCTGTTCTTTGCGCTTACGCCAACCCCAGGCCACCTACCCTCACCAAGCATGCAGAGGGGGTAGACACAGAAAGCCAGGTCTGTAAGCCTGGGGTGGCCTGGCCATGAACAAGAACAGTCGGTCTGGAGTACCAGCAGCAAGGCCCAGGTCTCACACTAGGCCTGAAAGCCAGTCGCCATGGGCAGACACTGCCAGAGACAGGCCCTGCTGGCCTCCGGGGTTCTTACCTTCACGCCATCGTTCTTCTTGTTCCCTCCACTCTTCCCTCCTGTGGAGGAGAGAAAGTAAAGGGTTAGCAACACCAGGCAGGGCACCAGAGCCCACAGGGCGAGGAACAGCAGCATCCAGGAGCAGCCAGGGAGCAGGCGGAGAGTAGACGGTGTGGGAGCAGCGCTGGCTCAGCAATTCCAGGAGACTTCCTCCTCCTCTTCCTCCTCTTCCTCCTCTTTCTCCTCCTCCTCTTCTTTCTCTTTCTCTTCCTTAGTCTTCAGTGGCCCAGGCACTGCCCGCGGCCCACTTGGTGGGCATAAGCCCCAACTTCCAGCACTCTCAGGTAACCCTCCACCTTCATGGATTAAGGAAGGTGTCCGGCATGTCCCGGAACAGTGAGGTTGCTGTTTCAGCCTGGGGATTCCCTCTGGATCCCGGTCACCACTGTGCTGATGGTGGCAACCCAGAGGCCTGGCTGCCTGGCCCAGGGCTGGACGATCTCCCCACTCCCCCATCCTCCTCCCTGGCTCTCTAATTTTAGCCCCATGCTGCTGCGGAGGTCATGTGTCAGCCCTGCCTACTCACTCTGGACAGCTGCAGGCCACATTTTGCTGGTGACAAGAAGCAGATGCCCCCTGTCGGGGCCCACCCTTGCCAGAACACCCATGCCGTGCCTTGCTCCCCAAGAGTCATAAGCCTCCCAGGCCTCTGTCTCTGGAGCCCCACTGGGGCTGGCTGTGTCCCTGGTAGCCAGAAAAGCAGAACAACAGCTCTTAGGGAGGCCTCCGCCTCTGTCATTTTCCCTCCCTCCTCGTTTCCTGGCTGGAGCCCGAGGAGTAAGCACCAGCCAGGAAATGGCAGGAATGCCCAGCCTGGCCCAGTCTAGCATCCGGCTACTCCAGACCATAAGCAAATGCCTTAAACAAAATAGGGATCTCTGAAGTACTTAGCGCAACATTTAGCCTGCAGGCGGCTAATACCTGATAAGAAGCAGCCATGATCAGTTCTGCTCCAGGCAGCCTCCAGAGAGTTGCAGAGTGAACAGAGGGACAGCACACGGATGCCCCCAGGAGCTCTGCGGTCATGACCCTCCAGGCCCCCCATATTTCCACCTATGGCCCCTCAAAGCTTTTATCCAGTCTACTTGCAGACCAAGGGGGGCATACCTCTGGGTCCTCACCTGGGATCAATGACTGCTCATCCTAGGGTTTGTGAGTTGGCCCCGGGGATAGACAGCAGGGCAGGGGCTCTTGTCCCTCCAGCCCAGGGAGTATCACTCCTTGAGCTTCAGTCTGTTTTTATGGAGCTTTAAAGCCAGTGAGACCATAGATTCTGATTTTCTCCTATGAAATCTTCTCATTTTTAAGGGCTAGCAATGTCCCCTCACCCCCTAAAATTTTTTTAAACATTCCTGATTCCATAAAGTATATCTAGAGACTAAATTGAACCCATGGACCTAAAGCGCTAGAGTTCTCCACGATGCTCCAGCTGTTAAAAAAAGACTCTGACTGTCTGGCTAGCTCATCTTTCAGTTTAAAGAACTGTGAGTGAGATCGCTATCTGGGGAGGGGGGAGGAAGGAAGTTCACTGTGGGGGAAAAGCCTGTGTTTGAAGTTCTCACTCGTTCCTTCCTCAGGGCCTCACCCTTCCCAGCTGGTCTCATGAGCAGGTGGACCCTCTCGGGGAAGCCAGCCTGTACCCTGTCAGACTGACCTCTGGCTGAGGTGCTAGCCCCAGCCCCCATCTGAGGGCCCCTCGGGTGAGCTCTGCCTTATCTGCCATCTATATCTGTGTGGCTGCCCTGGCAATTCCCAGAGCTCCCCAGAGACAGGCCTCTGGAGGCACTGGCCGGCCACTGGCCCATGGGCCAAGAAGAGCTGCTTGCTAAGCCCTGACCATAATCCCTTCCCCTTCTCTCTTTGAGGCCACATGCCCAGGTAGCTGGGCACTCCCTGCCTTAACCAGCCTGGCTTTGGCTAAGGGCCAAGTAGGCTCCTGCCCAGGCCTCTCGGTGACCCAGCTTGGTTAAGGACACTCAGGCAGGCTCTGCTTCAACCTGGCCCTATGATCTAGGATGTCAGAACTCAGCTCCCCAAGGTTGAGATTGTTTCCTCATCCAGAAAAGAGGGATGGGCCAGCCCCCACTGCCTGTCACAAAGCCTTGCTCAGCACAGGACTCCAACAATATGGGACAATCCAGTCATCTCCCTACATACACACACTGGACCTGGCTCTGTCCCTCCTGGCCTGAACCCCCAAATTCCAGGTTTCTCCTCTGGCTGGCTCAGCCTGAGCATCCTAGTGCTGCTGGGAGGCAGGAGGGTCAGACTAATCTCCAACCTAGGTCTTGGCTTGCTGCCTGCCCTTCTGGGTACACGTTTGTGGCTTATGAGCAAGACTATGGTCACAGAGTCCTCTGCAGGCCCCACTCAGAAACCCAAATATCCCACGAGACAATGTTCCCAATAGACCAGTGCAGGGTTCACTGGGGACACGGGCCCCACCACCTACCGGAGAAGTTCCTGGTGGCCAGCATGGTGGTGAGGATGGCTCCCTGAAACAGATAAGAGGGGCCAGAGTAGAGTGACAGAGAGAGGAGAGGCAGAGAAATGGAGGGGTGTGGGCAGGGGCAGGCAGTGCTCCTTGCGGAGACCAAGGCAAAACCTCTGCCTGTCCCTCTATCTGTCTCCCACATCACCTTGCATCTCCCTCCCTGGAAAAGTTGCCTTCGGTTGGCACAGTTCATGGGACAGGGCCATCCCAAGAACAGATATTAATAGGTCCCAAGGCCTGGGAAAAGCTGATAGGCCTGAAGGAACCTGCCACAGAGGTTCCTAAAGGCTAAGGAGGTATCCTAAGCAAGGACGGCAGACCTCATGCCCCTTTGCCTGGCTGATGGTTCCTTGCTCCAAAACTAGTTCATCTTTCCTTGACCTTTGGGTCAGAGGCCAGGAGGATTCTCATCGTAGAGAAACCCTAAAGGGAGAAACTCTCCCAGGTTGCTGTCTGCTTCCGACCTAACTCAGCCATTCTCTGAATCTGGAATTCTGGAGTGTTAAGACTCCCTGATTCCCACATTTGAGACCCCTCTGTGAGGCAGCTTCTTCTGGAGGTGGGCTGGGATTTGGTTCTCCTGACCTCCTGCCAGCATCACCCTATGGCCCATGTCCCCACACTGGTCCTCATTCCAGGTCAGGAGCAGTGAGTGAGGATGTTCCCCTGAGCTGAAGCCCCACATCTGTCCCTACACATCTGCTCCCTGTTATCCTCTAGCTCTAGCTTAGAGCTCCTTTTTCCTAGCTAGGGTTGGTCTGGTCCTGAGGGTGCAGCTCAGGCCCCTCCTGGTTGCTGGTGGCTTCCTGGAGGCCCCAATCTCTCTCTCTGTCTCTCTGTCTCTCTGTCTCTCTCTCTCTCTCTGTCTCTGTCTGTCTGTCTGTCTGTCTGTCTGTCTGTCTGTCTCTCTCTCTCTCTCTCTCTCTCTCTCTCTTTCTCTCTCTCTCTGAGTGACTCAGCCACTCCCCCTTATTGTGGGCTCCTGCCCAGTCAGGCTTTGCCTGCAGGGCTCTCCACAGCCAACTAGAGCCACTTGAGGCCCTCCAGGGGCTGTGCTCACATTGGCAGTAGCTTATACAGGCTGTCTACTCTGCCTGAAACATATACCTGTGTTAGCTCTACACAGGGCAGGTCTCCGCTTAAATGCACTGGCCCTAGGGAGGCCTCCTGGGACCCTGTCTGGGTCCTTCCAGACCTGGAAATGCCACTGCCTGCCAAGTTCCCCTCCTGCTCTCACACAGCACTTACCACTGCATGCCATGTCTGGTTACTTATCTGACTGTTCCACCACCAGATGCTCGGTCAGGGTGGGGACAGGGTCTGATTCATTGCTCGCTCCCCAAAGCCCCAGCCTGCTGTCTAGTATGCAGTAGGTGTTCAGCAAATGCTTGTCAAAACAGTGAAGAAAATAACTATCAAGCAAGTCTCACAGTCCTTGGGCTACTCCCTCTTCTGGGGATGGAGGGTGGGGACCTGTTACCTTGAGTTTCCTCCTGGCGTTGAACTTCTTCAGGCAGTCCACCGTCTCCTGTCTGTGCATGCAGGAGGCCACTGTGGACCGGTGCTGCAGCGGGGAGAGGGACCATCAGGGATGGCAGGCTAGAGGACCAGCCCACCCAAAGCTTCCAACAGCAGTGTGGTGACAGCGTGCAGAGCATGCTTCTTTGTTCCAGGGAGTGATATGAGGTGCTTGGGATGTTGGCACTCACCAGTGCCAGTGGCATGCCCAGGCATGATGCCAGCCTGGGACATCCCTTACTTCTCTATCACCCACAAGTTTCACAGCAGGGCTAGAGTTCCTTGCATTAAGCCCTACAAACCCCATCCTGGAGCTGAGAGGCCAGGGCCAGGGCAGGGCAGGACTTTGTGGGCCTCCTGGGAGTGCCCACCAAGGAGGACTCACCGAGATCCAGGGGTGCTTGAGGGCCTCTGCAGCTGTGATTCGTTTGGAAGGATTAATGGTCAGCATCTTATTGATCAGATCCTTGGCTTCTGGAGTGACGGTGTCCCATTCTGGTGATGGGAACTGGAAGGGGCAGAGGGGCCAGATTTGCCCAGACTGCCCCAGGCCACCCCTGCGATCCCCCAGCCCCTGACTGGCAGGGGAGCAGGCAGGGGTTCTAACACCTATCCACTGGGGCATCGACCACCAGGTGTGGGGCTCCTGAGGAGCAAGGGAGGGCCAGGACCCCCTGACTGATCAACCTGTTGCCAGAGGAAAAGGAAACCATGGTCAGGGTCCAGACTGCAGGACCAGAAGTCTTAGGCTCACATCTTGCCTCCGCCTCTGGGGCAGGAGACCTGTGTAAATCATGTGACCCTCTGGGCCACCCTAGGGATGGAGCCAGGTTTGAGTGTCCCATAGAACTCCTGGTGTGTGGCTGCATGGATGTCAGCCTCACAGAAAGCAGGCAGATGCATGAGTCTACCGTGTGGGTTCAAACCCCAACTGTCATCTCTTAGGTATATGACCTGGACAGATGCCTCGCCTCCGTATGGCTCAGCTTCCTGGTCTGTAAAATGAAGCTGATTCCTGTGTCTGTCACAAACCAGTGTGAAATTAGATATAATAACATATGTAAGACATTCAGAAGAGTGCAAGAGAAATGCCAGGTAATGATATTGTTGATATATAGGAAAGAAAATACGGTGTGAGGCCTCCCCTGTCTTCTAGACTCTGCTTTGGTGTTCTTTTGCCCTCTGGGATCCCAGGGATACATCCCATCAATTTGAGCCCCTAAACGTTATGGACCTTGTGACCACCACCTGCTTCAAGCACCCCTGGGATTCAACTCCTGACCCAGAAGTGAGTGACAATGGGACCTAAGTCTTCTGGAAAGGCAAAAGGGATGTGTCCTTAGATACTGGAAGGGGATCAGAGGATGGATGACCAGACAAGGTGGCTGGAGAGAGGAGCGACACTCACATCATAGGCGCCAGCTTTGATCTGCTGGTACAGACGGTGCTGGTCCTCATCCCAGAAGGGGGGGTACCCAACCAACAGGATGTACAGGATGACCCCTGGGGAGAGGACCAGGAGAATCTTCAGCCCCCTGTGGGGAGAAGTCATGGAGGGAGGGGTGGAGAGAGGGGCCAGAGAGGGGTCCAGAGTCGTGGGCACCTGGGACACTAAAGGACAATTGGATGAACTCACCACAGGCCCACAGGTCCACAGGCTTCCCATATGGGTCCTTCCGCAGCACTTCTGGGGAGAGGTATCCAGGTGTCCCTGCGAACCCTGCTCCCCAGACACACAGACAGGCAGACACACACACAGAGGTGGCACGTGAGTAACCTGGAGCAAGACCCTGCGGGAGAGGGGACGAGGTTGCCCTGGGGCTGGTGGAAGCAGCCCTGCCGCCTCGAGCTTGGGAGGCCAGCGAAGCCTCCAGAGCAAGGAAGACAGCTACACCACATGCCTGCACCATGCCAACGCCCCACTGAAGGCAGCAGAAGCGGCCCCAGCAACCCTTCCCATCGGGTTCCTTCTCAGGATCCTGAACAACTCTGACCCAAGTGGTGGCCACTTCAAGATGACATGAACTTGCCCTGTCAGCCCCAAGCTGAGGGCTGAGCTTTTGCCTGCTCCCTGTGGAAGCTGTCATGGTGTGTTGGGGGCCTCTTCCTAACTCTGCCTTAGCCCCTACGTCCCTTAGGTCCTTTCTTTACTTTCTGGGCCTCAGTTTCCAAATCTGTCCAAGGATTAGGGCTTCCTATCTTAAATACCTCCCAGTGTTGTTGAGAGACCAAATGAAATAATGGACCCCCCAAAACACAGAAACAGTTGCTAGTTATGAAGTCTGAGTGCTAGCCATCGAGCCGGGGACTTCTGTGCCTGGTCCTCATTAATCCTCATGTAGCCCTAGATGAACAAACCACTATTATATTTATTTTAGAGATAAGGAAACAGAAAGTTGAAATAATTCACCCAAACTCACACACAATAGCAGGGTCAGGATTTGAGCTCTGTTCTTAGCCATGTTTTAGATGGCTCAATGAAAAGTAGCCCCTGACAGCTGAAATGTACCGAATCATACCAAAGTTTCAAAGCCCGCTGGATCGTCTGAGTTTAAATCCTGGCTTCACACTTGAAGGGCCCTTTTCAATGTTTCGTAGCCTATTGCCTCATCTGTAAAACTGGGATTCTGATCTCTGGCATCCAGGCATAGCAGACCTCGCGGAAGCCCTTCACACATGAAGGAGCCACATTTCTGCCTCAGTGGCCATCCTGTCCTTGCACCTGGTCCCAGGGCCGGGGGGATGGACAGTGCCCCACGGCCTCCGGGCTGAGTGGCATGGGCTTCTGCTGCCAAGTCCCTGGCTGCCAGAAGCTGTCTCCAATCCACCTGCTTGGACAGAGGCCTCTCTGAGGCCCGAGTGTCAGCTTAAAGGCCACCCTGCCACTCCCTGCCCCACTCACCAAACCATGCCTGCTGCTCCCCCTCCACCTCGATGGCCAAGCCAAAGTCAGCCAGTTTCACGGCAGCACCCTTGAGCTTGGAGGCCAGCAGCAGATTCTCCGGCTTCCCAGGACCAGGGAGAGAGAGGTTGGGGAGAAGGCACGAGACAGTCAATAGATGGAGTTCACCGATGGCACTTGGGCTTCCAGGAGGGACAGAGTGACTCCTGGGGCCCAGCCCCAGGACCCTGGTTGAGTCCCCGAGAAGGGGACTTTTGGCAAGCACATCATCTTCTACAGCATAAAGACCTTTCCTCTGTCAGTCACCCCAGTATCTGGAGCTGGGGCTGAGGGAAAAGTGGGGGCAGGGATGGGGTTGTCCAGCCATCAGACAATAAGGGAGCAGCAGCAGCAGCAGCGTTCATGGGGCTCCTATCGTGCACCAGCGTGGGCTGAGTGTGCTGCTTGCATCCTCTCATTTACCCCTGCAATAAACCCTTGGCATAGGTAGCGTTACCCCATCCCCCACAGCGGCCTTCTTATGCACCTTGAAACAGTCCTGCACCTTTGCACTTCCTGTTCCCTCTGCCTGATGTGGTCTTGCCCCCACAAGCTGCTCTATATCCAGGTCTCACACCTTGTCACCCCCTCAAAGAGCCCCTTGTGACTACTCCATCTAAAGAAGGAGACCTCAGATATCTTCCATCCATCATTTTTACCTAAGTATTTGTCCTATACCTAGAGATGAGGAGTCTGAAACTCAGAGAGGTCAAGCGGCTTGACAAATATCACACAGCTGGCAAGTGGTGGTGGGGGCAGAATCAAGGGGAAGACTGACTTTCCTTAAAGCCACTTTGGGATGATAGATGATGGGGCTTGTCCATGAGACCACAGCTGGCCTGGGGAAAGTGCCCCCCACACACACACCTCTCAGGCACTGTGGCTGCCACCATCCACTGGCCCAGCCCCCTAGAACTTCTCCCCTTTCTGCTGGTCGCCTTGCACCTCAAGACCAAGAGCAAATGGGAGACCAGCATGAGACTGTCACTTAGATGACCTCGGTTCCTGATCCAGCACTGGCATCTGTGTTCTGTGGGGCTTGGCCAAGTTACTTCACTTCTCTGAGCTTCAGTTTCCTTTTAGAGAAACTGGGATGATGCCCAGCTGTCCGGGTCTGGATTAAGCCAGATTATCCATGCAAAGCAAGTGCAGCTGTGACAGTAAGTGCTCCACGAACATCACTGATATTGACTGCTTGGGCTCAGCATCTCCAGAGGCAGAAGAGGCTCCACTTCCTTTCCGGCTGTCCCAGAAGGGCTTCTAGGACCCCACCTCTGACCTTTCACTGTCCAAAGCCAGTCTGGACCCAAACAAATATAGAACCTTCTTCCTGGCTCACTAACGCCTCCTTTGTCCTCAAGGGACTCTGTTCCCATCATCTCCTGGGTCTGCATAGCTGTCCTGCCCTGATTTGATGAATGTGCCACTAATTAGAGTATCTGGCGTGGCCTGAATTTGGGCTGCTCTCCTCCTTCCTGCTCCTGTGCAGGGCCTGTAGCTATAATGGGAACAGGCCCGGGGGAAGAGCCTCCCTGCAGTCTGGCCAGAGACCCTCTTCAATTGCACACCTGCCTGTGCATCTGGACCGAGACCCATGGAGCTCACCCTGGGCCACAGGCGAGAAGCAGGGACTCAGAAGTGGCAGGGCTCAGTTCAGGTCTCTGTGCTTCAAAGAGGGCCCCAGACCACCTGAAGCATGCACCACAAGAATGGTCAGGGTAAGGAGGACCTAGAGTTCACATCTTTGGTGGGAATAGGACCAGAGGGACTTCCTAAAGAGCTACCCAAGTCTCTCTAGAGCCCTTCTGAGCTGGAAGCTTGATCTCAGTGTGGTTCCAAATATGTTTCAAGGAAAATCTCTCACGACAGGAAACTGCAAAGGAGCATTCCCCAGTGGTGCTGTGGTGACCCCACATCACCTTAAAGGACTGCTGCAGGAGCAGGAGCTAGGTTAAGCAGCTCCCTGGCATTAGTGTCCAAGGTCACAAGTCCGGGATGAGAAGGCCAGGACTCCCTCTCCAGAGCTGGATGCTCTGGTACATAGAAGTGCTGTCCTTGTGCAAATCCCTTGGACTGTTTCAGCTTTCATGGTCTATGTTCTCCAAATCAAGGGTGACCAAGCTCTCAGGCACTGCTGCCATAAGGCCCAGCTCGGAAGCTCCGTGGAATCTGCTGCCAGCAAGGCTGTGAGGCCTGGGCCAGCCCTAGCTGGCTTGGTCCTCCTGTCCAGCCCCCTCTTTAGGCAAGAAGAGGGAGGACTCAGAGGGCCTCAAGTCTTGGTTTCCTTCTCTGCTACTTGCCACAGACCAGAGCAAGAGGCACAGTGCTTCTGTATCCCAGGCACTGTGCTATCTCACTTGACAGGCGCCCCAGAAGCTAGGGTTGCCGTGGCAACCACTGCTGTCAAGAAGCTGAGGCTCAGGGAGGTCAAGGCAGTCAAGGCCAAGTAGCTGGAAGGCATGCTGCCCTGCTGGGAGACAGACCCAACCTGACTCCTTCCATACCTCCCTAAGGCAAAGTAGATGGGCCAGAAGCTGGGGGACATGGGACCCAACTGCAGCCCCTCTGCCTTCCTGAGCTCAGTTTCCTCACCTGACAGTTGGGGAAAATATTCACACCCACCTAACTTGGAAAATTAAGGGGATTCCAGTGCCAACCGGCCTGTGGGAGGCAGGAAGTGCAGAGGGCAGGGGCTCCGGGGCTGCGCCACAAGACATGCTCACCTTCAGGTCCCGGTGCACCACCCCCATCTGGTGGCAGTGCAGCACAGCCTCCAGGATCTGCTGGATGCAGTGACTGGGGAGAGAGAGGGCATTGTGGGTGAGCGCAGGCCTTCCCAGGAAGCCCACAGCAGCCAGCAGGGCCCTGCCCCAGGTGCACTGCCAGCCACACCTGGCACTCACCTGGCATCTGCCTCACTGTAATACTCCCGGGCCACGATGTCCTCAAACAGCTCCCCACCAGTGACTCTGGGGAGACAGGCATTGAGTCAGCTTCCCACAGAGGCTCCAAAAGGAGCCAGGCAGGGCCACCATAGGGCAGCCATCCAACTGCTCTTCCGGGACACCCCTCCTTCATTGACCCCGCTGCATCCCTGTCTTTCTCTGCAGCTGGGCTCTTCCCAGTGTCTCAAACCTCAAATCACAGCTCTGGACCCAGCTCGTGGGCACCTACCAGCTGTTTAGGCTTTTGTGTTTGTTTGTTTGATGCATTTTTTTCTCTTTTTTTAGAGAAGCTTTGAGCTCCAGAAAATTAAGTGGAAGGTGCAGAGGTTTTCTCTACACTGCTGTCCCCAGCAGGCACACCTCCCATTGTGAATCACCCCCAGCTGGATTTCATAGAGGAGACCAATGATTCCCCACTGCCTGTCCAAGAACCACCGATGCCCATCATGTCATCACGGCAAACATACTAAACAGATTTACAAGGAAGCTCAGTATGAGTGGCAGGCTTATCAGCACCACTGGCCACAAATAGAAGAGAGACAAATCTCTGATGACAGTTAAAAGGGTGTGGTGTCTTAGCAGGAAAAGCAGCTTTCACGGCTTGGGTAGGACACCTGGGCATGTTGCACACTGGGCAACTCTGGGCCAGATGAGGAAGTTCCGCCTAGCCTGGAGGCCTTTGGGACCCCAGAGGATAAGGGGCCCCATGAGCTCATCCTGCTAGGACAGTCCCACACCCTCAGCACACCCCAGGGTGGTCCAGACTCACAGGTCGAAGATCAGGTAGTGGTGGCCCTCCTCAGAGATGCTGTCATGGAGCCGGACTGTGGGAGGCCGAGGCAGGGGGTTACGGCTGCATGCACTGCTCCCCACCCCCACCATCCCTCTGACTCCTCCTACCATCAGTATCCCAGTTTCTCAGTCTCGGAACACAAACTTGGAGCCAGGTGCTTTGACAAACTCAGATACAGAAAAGGCTTACTGCATCAAGCCCTCACAGACCCCATGCATTGCTGGGAGAGGTCTGGGCATAAGGACTAAAGAGTCTCATTTGGTCAAATTTGGTCAGCTTTCTACAACCCACAGTCTTGCTGGCCAGACAAAGAGCCTATAACTCGAATCCCTGCAGCAGACTGGCTGTGTGACTTCCGGCAGGTTGCTAAGTCCTTCTGAGCTGCTCTGTCCTTGCCTGAACTGTGAAAATGACACTGTTGAACTTGGAGCCTTGTTCTGAGAGCTCTACCGGGCAAGTAGTCGGTACTTTCTCAATGCTGGCCCACAGCTGAGAGCCCTGTTCAGCCTCCAGGTCTGAGAAGCTAATGGAGCCATGGAGGCCAAAGGTGGGAAGCCGAAGGTGGCGAGCTACATCCTGAGTTCTGACTGCTAGGAACCTGTCCTCTCTTGACATCTCATTTACCAATAGCAGAGGCCAAGCCTCCAGGAATTCGGAGCTCCCAAAATTACCCCTGAGCTTTTAGAAAGAAGGGCCTGAGCGCTGAGACTGACGCTGGGGGCCCTCACCTTGTCAGCCAAGGGCAGGCTGTCACAGGACAGGGCTCACATCCTTCCCTGCGCCATAACCTAAAAATGTCCACAGAGGGAGGCTGACTCCGAGAGCTGGGATCCAGCCACACAATGGGAAATTACACAGCTGTTAAAATCATGCGGCAGTTATGTATCCACTGGTTCAGAATCATCTCCAAATTATGTTATTTAATGAAAAAGCAAAGTGCAAACCAATGTGCGTAGTTCTTTTTTAAAAGGATGCATTTGAGCTTATAAATGGCATGAATCTTCCTGGAAGAATACAGGGAAGTGGGCATCGGAGCGCCTTTGGGGAGGGAGTCGGGGACAAGGGCACAGAGAAGACTCCACTTTTCACTGTCACCCCAGCACTGCTGAAGCTTTGCTTTGTGCACACATCCCTGACTCAGTTCTGAGTCTCCCAAACTGCTTATGGCTCTCGGCTTTTAAGTGAAATGTGAAGGATGGCAGAGAGGCAGGTATAAAATACCCTGAGGGGGGACCTTTGGGGACAGGAGATAGACACCAGAGATGAGGGAGCACAGATGAAAATCACAACCCTACAGCCCTCTTAAGTGACCCTACATACTGGTGAATAGTAATCAAAAGACGTTTAAGAGAACCTTAAGAGTACAGTCCCACTTTAGTCAGACCTACATTAGGTGAAAACCCATGCCCCGCTACCCAGACTCCACAATTAGGGTGGTCCTCTCTCTACCTTCCTGCGTTCTGCCCCATGCCTCTGGCTGTTAATCTGCTGCAATTTTTAGTGCCTGCCAAACAAATGCAGGCTTAGTCTGTTAAACATAGATGCTTATATAACTGTGTTTTTGGTTTACGGGACGCAGCAATCTTATGTCAGTGCCCTGCCAAGGTCCCCTTTGGTAAGCAGGGGTGTCCCCTCCTCTCCCTGGCTGCCAAGACAGCTGGCTGCTCACAGCACTGGAAAGCCTGTCTTGGGCTCTGCCTCCAAGGAAGCTGAGCTGCAATAAACGCCCAGGTGTATGTGAGAGAGCCACGGATTGCAGATCACGAGGAAACAGGCATCACCAGATGTTAGCTCTAGATGTGTAGTTCATAGGCCCTTCGCAAGGTCTCCTCACTGATCCACAATAAACTTGCACTGTTATTGGGCCAAAGTGGAGTGATTAGAAGCCTGTTTTCCTCTCTGTCTTCTTCCATGTGGCCTGGGGGCAGACCCTTCCTGTCTACTTTGGCTGGGAGTGCTCCTGACTTGCCTGCCCTGAGTGTGAGAAAGCCATGCAGCAGCCAGATCACCTCTGCAAGGAGCCTCACAACCAGGTCAGTGGTCCTTTTATAGGAACCCCAGGAGGATGAGGGGGCAGACCCATCCGCAAACCAGGCAGCTCAGCCCGACAGAGGAGGTCCTTGGGGCTTAGGGAAATGGGCAGACCTCAGGGAGGTTTTCCTCTGTGCTGCTATAAAGGGCTGCCCCTCTGAACCATGGGCAGGGGCACGTGTGCTGCATTTTAGTCCCTACTCAAGCACAACGGTCCTGGCGTTGGCCTTGCTTGCTGAGAGTAGTGGACTATTGGTCCGCTTGTATCTGTAGCATTGTGCGGCCACTCCATTTTTGAAAATAATGTCACAGAAAAGATAAGTCTTCAAATCATTTAGAGTCATGAATTTCTGACATTCTTGTGACATTCCCAGTGGCTACAGTTGTTGTCATGAAAGTTGAAGGGTAGTATTTGTTCCTTTACCTGTGTGCCTCTGACCACCACACACTTGATGTCTGCCTGGGAAACCGCGGAACCTACATGGGCTCTGGACTTAAGAGGTTCAGTTCCCAGATTCACCTCTTACAAGCTGTGCAATTTTGGGCCAATGTCTTACTGTCTCTGAGCCTCCATTCTTTAGAGTTGTGCTAATGCAACTAGACTCCTAGGGAAACTAATGTGTTGATGTTTGTGAAGCATTTAGTTTAGTGCCTGGCACTAGGAATCATTAAATGAAGACACTGCCATCCCACGCCACTGACCAGCCACACGCGTGACGTCACACACTCAACACTCAGGTTGTCCCTAGCACAGTGAAGTTCTCTGCACCCTTGGGGTGGCTTTCGGGGCTGTGCCCCATTGCAGGTGGTGATGGTACAGAGATCAGGAGCAGGAGCCGGGAGGCAAATGCTCTGTGCAAGGATCAGCTGGGTCCATTTGTGCGGAGCCAGGGGCCCCAGACCTGGTCGTGGGCCAAGCCATGGACACACACAGATGTATCTGGATTTGACAAGGAGGCAGCCTAGAATTCAGTCAGGTGCGAGAGCCTCTGCACTTGTTTGAAAAACATTTATACTCTCTCAGCGCTCCCAACAGTCCTAGCAGGTGGGAGCCATGGTTATTTCCATGTCACAGGGAAGAATACTGAGGTTTAGAGGCTCACAGTCAAACACGGCCTTGACCCTGGAGTTCAGGCTGGAACCCGGCATGTCTGACCACAACAAAGCCCATTCTCTTGGCTGGCATGTTGCTGTGGTTGACACCCATGACCAGCAGTCTTGATGGCTCGGGGCAGGGATAATCTGAGGGGCTCTGGGAAAAAGGATGTCCTCTCTGGGTGGGAGCAAGACAAGGGGAGGGGACAGCTTAGTGACAGCCAAGCACTGGCCTGACGCCTGTCTTCCTGCTATGGATCATCATGTCCTGTGAGGCAGATATAATTCACATTCTCCAAATAAAACTGAGCTTCAGAGAGGTTAAGCCATGCCTCCAGGGCCACACAGGAATAAAGGAACAAATCCAAGATTTGAGCTGTATTCTGTCAGCCCCAGAGCTCATAACTTATTCTCCCTTTACAGCTGAGAATGGGAGGGAAAGGGAGACACAAAGAGAAGAGGCAGCATTGACCTGGGATGGCTGCGATTGTGGAGCAACACTCTCTCTCTCTCTCTCTCTCTCTCTCTCTCTCTCTCTCTCTCTCTCTCTCTTCCCTTATACTTCCTCCCAATTGAATGCCTGTAGGAGAACCAAGAGGTTTACAGTCAGAGATGCCCCAGCCCCTGCTTCCTGGTGGGAGTGGGGCTGGTGATGAGAAAGGAGGCTAGCCA